AGAGGAAAAAAAAATCAGTGTTGGTTTCCTGGGCAATTTCTCTGTTTTTCTAACTGGTTTTTATTAATGCTTTTGAGATGAATCCCAGGAATCTGAAGCTTTGCAGCCAGAGGAGGTTTGGTTGGTGTGGGTTTTTTTTTTGTTGTGTTTTTTTTGTTTGTTTGTTTGTTTGGGGTTTTTTGTGTGGTTTTTTTTTGTTTGTTTGTTTGGGTTTATTTGGGTTTTTTTTGTTTTCAGGCTGCACTGAGAGACTCCCCAATAAATCCAAATTTTAGAGCAGCAGCCAGAAAAAGTGAGCAAGCATCAGATCAGGAAAAAAGCCCTGATGCCAAGGGGAACTCTCCATCCTTTAATGCAATTTTTGAGAGGCACTAACAGGAGTGGCTCCACCCCATCCTCACAGCCATAAATGCATTAATTAAAAAGGAATGCCAGCATTAATGATCTGCTGACACAAATTACAGCACAAGGACCTGTGTGCAGGGTTTGTCAGCGCTCCAGGCTCATCACCAGCAACTCCTTTAAATACAGAGTGTTCCACCAGGATCAAAGGAGAAAATACCCACTCGTGGGAAGAAGAAAGGGTCAAATTCCTGGGACAGGAAAGTAGAAGGGAATGCTGTAGTTAGAGTACAAGGGTACAGCTAATTGGCAGTGGCAAAGGCAGCAAGGAAAAATAAAATAAAATTCAAGATAAAATATGGAAGGAAAAAAAAAAAGAACTTTGCATGGGAACAGCAAAAGACCAGCAACATTTTTATTTTTCCCTTTTCTTTGGAAATCAAATCCTCCGGCTGCCACGAAGCCCTGAAATAATCCAGTTTAGAGCAAGAACTGTGAACTGAAGGGACAGAAGCCCTGAAATAATCCAGTTTAGAGCAAGAACTGAAGGGACAGAACTGAAATAATCCAGTTTAGAGCAAGAACTGAAGGGACAGAACTGAAATAATCCAGTTTAGAGCAAGAACTGTGAACTGAAGGGACAGAAATGAAATAATCCAGTTTAGAGCAAGAACTGTGAATTGAAATAATCCAGTTTAGAGCAAGAACTGTGAATTGAAAGGGACAGAATTGAAATAATCCAGCTCAGAGTAAGAACTGAAGGGACAGAACTGAAATAATCCAGCTCAGAGCAAGAACTGTGAACTGAAATAATCCAGTTTAGAGCAAGAACTGTGAATTGAAAGGGACAGAACTGAAATAATCCAGTTTAGAGCAAGGACTGTGAATTGAAAGGGATAGAATTGAAATAATCCAGTTCAGAGCAAGAACTGTGAACTGAAATAATCCAGTTTAGAGCAAGAACTGTGAATTGAGGGGACAGAACTGAAATAATCCAGCTCAGAGCAAGAACTGTGAATTGAGGGGACAGAAATGAAATAATCCAGTTCAGAGCAAGAACTGTGAACTGAAATAATCCAGTTTAGAGCAAGAACTGAAGGGACAGAATTGAAATAATCCAGTTTAGAGCAAGAACTGAAGGGACAGAATTGAAATAATCCAGTTTAGAACAAGAACTGTGAACTGAAGGGACAGAAATTAAATAATCCAGTTTAGAACAAGAAATGTGAAACAAAGGACAGAACTGAGAGCCACCCACAACAGCAGAGCCTGTCATTACTGCAGGGCTGGGACAAGGCAGGCACCTCTCAGCCCCAGCATTTCCCTGCTTGTTCCCCAGCCACAAACACAAATTCGCCTTCTCACAATGACAAGGTGATGCTCTCAGCAGATGTTGGGGTTTTTTTGTGTTTCATTTCACTGGAATGCACTGGGATCAGCAGCCTGGGATGCAGCCACCAAAGCGGCTGAGGGGATGAGCAGAGCTCCGACACCTTCGGGCTGTGGGGAATTTAAAAAATAGATTTAATAAAAAAATCAATTTCAAAAATAAATTTTAAAAAATAAACGGGAACATCAAATACCAGAGATATTCTATAGATATAGAGATATATTATAGAGATATAATAACCAGCGACAGGTGAAACCCACAGAAATTCCCCCCTGGATTTGTGGTGAGCACTGGGCAGCCAAGGGATGCTCGGGGTTGGGAGAATCAACCCCAAATTCCCCTGGGAGTGGAGAGGGAGAAAGGTTGGGGAGCACAGCTCAGCTCAGAGTGGAGAAACTGGTTAAAAACTCAAAATTCAAATCCTCCTAGAGCAGGAAAAGTGTTGACACAGCTGCTCTTGCAGGATGTCTTTGGAGCAGCAAAGCCCCAGGAGGAAGCAGAGCTGTGCAGAATTAGAGATTGGAGAATAATAAAATAATAATTAATAAAAATAATAAAATCAAATAAATAAAATTATATATTTTTATAAAATAAAATAAATGAAATAAAATTATATCTTTCATAAAATAAACTAAATTAGATTGTATCTTTTATAAAATAAACGAAATTAAATTATATATGTTTTTATAAAATTACTTCTCTTTGTAAAATTATTTATAAAATAATAAATAAATAAAATTATTAATAAAAATAATGCCATAATTATTTAAAAAACCCTAAATTGTCCCTTTGATCCCCTCTCTGAGCCCCACAGAAGCTGCTGCTCTCCCCCCTGGGTGATTTTAGGAGATTTCAGCCTTGTCCAGCCTGGACTTGGCTCCTTGCAGTCAGGAAATATCCAGTCCATGAGAGCAGCAACCACAGCAAATCTGCTCCCTCCCAAAAGCCCTGCCAGGAGAGGCAGTAACCTCTGCACTGCCACAGCTGGGAGGCAGAAAAATGGGGAAAAACCCCTGGAATTGCAGCCTGGAGGGTCCTCCTGTGGCTGGGAGGGAGCAGGGAAGGAGAAAATGCTGGATTTGCTTTTTGTTTGGTGGGAGAAGATTTTTGCCTCCCTGGCAAGCATTTTCCAGGCTGGCTTCCTGATGGAGACAACAGGAAAGGCTCCTTTTTCCAGGAGATTCCAGGAAATTCCAGGAGATTCCTGTCCCAGCAATCTCAATGAGATTCTTCCATGAAATTCCATGAGATTCTTCCATGAAATTCCTGGAGATTCCTGGAGATTCCAAGAGATTGCTGCCCCAGCAATCTACATGAGATTCTTCCATGAGATTCCAGGAGATTCCATGGAATTCCAGGAGATTCCTGGCCCAGCAATCTCCAACAGATTCTTCCATGAAATTCCAGGAAATTCCATGAGATTCCAGGATATTCCATGAAATTCCAGGAGATTCCTGGCCCAGCAATCTCCATGAGATTCTCCCATGAAATTCCAGGCGATTCCACGAAATTCCAGGAGATTTCAGGAGATTGTTGGGCCGGCAATCCCCATGAGATTCTTCCAGGAGATTCCATGAAATTCCAGGCGATTCCAGGGGATTTCTGGCCCAGCAGTGGCTCTGGATCAGCGCTTTGCTCGCTGTGACACCTGGCACAGGTCAGGGACACGGGAACAGGAGGTTCTGCTGCCTGCAGGTGGTTTGGGATTGGGATAATGGGAATTCCTGAGGCTGGGAAAGGGGATTGGGACAATGGGAATTCCTGAGGCTGGAAAGGGGGAATGGGACAATGGGAATTCCCGAGGCTGGAAAAGGGGATTGGGACAATGGGAATTCCTGAGGCTGGAAAAGGGAATTGGGACAATGGGAATTCCTGAGGCTGGAAAAGGGGATTGGGACAATGGGAATTCCCGAGGCTGGAAAAGGGAATTGGGACAATGGGAATTCCCGAGGCTGGGAAAGGGGATTGGGACAATGGGAATTCCTGAGGCTGGAAAAGGGGATTGGGACAATGGGAATTCCTGAGGCTGGCAAAGAGGAGCAGATGGGATCAGGGTGGGGCTGGGCTGGGTTTGTTCACACCCAGGTGGGGCTGTTCCTATCCCATCACCCCCAAACCTCCTCCCTTCATAGAAATGTCAGATTTGGAATTTCCAAGCAAACTTTTCTTTTTATCTGAAGATCATTTCAGGATTTTTCCCTAGAAACAAACCACTTCTCTGGATCTGTCCTGGACAGCGTGGAGTTAACAGCAGGCTGCTTTATTTTTTTTTTTTTGTCATGGTCACATTATCTAATAATAATAATAGCTTCAGTTTCTTGGAATTTGTTTGGAAGTGTCTGGTTCAGTCTGATGCTGCAGACAGGATCCTGGGCTGGCTGAAGTTCTGATCTGGATGCTCCCAAAGTTTCCCTTGTTGCAGCGTGTAATTATTTGAAATGTTTATTTAAGGGGTTGTTATAATTATAATTATAATTCTCTCCTCTTTCCTGAAACTCTTCCCCCTCTGGGCTACAGGGAATCCATTTTCTGGTGGAGTAGAGAGACAGAAAAATGTCAGCAGGAAAAATTCCAGTGTGGCAATTAAGTTTATGCTCATGGATCCCATGGGAAGGCTCCTGACTTTTGTCTTTAAGTTCTTTTACAGAGTCCCACAGACATTTAAGGGACAACGAGTTTTAATTCCCTTTCTTCACTTGATGATTAATTTGATTGAAATAAAATCCAACAAATCCAGTCCACTAAATGGTGTTAACCATAAGCAACAATAACCTGACAACAGAATGTGAGAAAACATAAAAATCTACCATATTTTAATTTCCTTATAATATATAATTTTACTTTTAATATCCTAGCAGCAGGTACTTTATTCCCTATTTTATACTCAATTTCTTGACTTTAATTTTCCTGCAAACACCCAGCCCTCGCTTACAAATCCCAGCACAGGGTAAATATTGTTTTCTAGGCTGTCTTTGGAGACTGGAGCTGGAAGTGAAACCATATGAGGACATCAAAACCCCACTGAAGGCAGCAGCAGCACAAACCCAGCGTGGAGGAGTGTCAGACAAAGGCAGCAACAGCTGGATCCAGTAAAGCACCAGGAAAATTGGTTCCATCCCTAGGGGGAGGGAGAGGAGATTTTTGTTTTGTGGGTTTGATGTCAGAGCGAGGGAGGGATCTGCAGAAAGTGTTGGGGAAGGGAAGGAGGTGGGGTAAAAGCTGCTCAATCTGAGCTGCCCTCAGCTCTGGGGATGCAAACCGATGAGCTCATCGTGTTTTCCAGTCACAGAGAAGAAAGTTAAAGGAAAAAAAAGAAAAGTGTTGAAGTTGTTTTTTGAGAGAGGCGAAAACTCCCGAGGAGCCGAAGGGAGAAATGGAGCAGCTGGTGAAACTCCTCCTGTGGCAGATTCTGCTTCAGCAAAGTAAGCTCTGGGCTGCTGCTGTGCTGTTATTTGTTTTTATTTCAGATGCACAAAGATTTTGAGGCGTTATCTTTGTGACATTTTGTTCGGATTCCTAAATTTGCTCTGTTTGCATCCGGGGAGGGAGTTGAAAGTTTCCTCTCTGCTTTTTTGGGGAGAGAATGGAAAAATGTTTGAGGTTGTTGGGGCTCTGTTCAGCATGTTTGTGCAATTTTGTTTTTCCCTATCAGCAAATTCAAACCCAAACAAGCTTGGCTGTGAGCACAGCAAAGCTTTCAGAGTCAGATTTATGGATTTAACATTATTTAATTTAAGTTTGAAGAAGCAGAAACAGCTTGGGGGGGGGGTGTGAGAGGGTTCAGAGCAAGGGGGGAAAAAAAGGATGTGTGGTTTTGGGTTTCTGTTCTTCTTGTCAGCATAAAGACACACACAGAGTTCCCTTGTGTGCAAGAAAGGAGTAGGAAATGAGAATATATTGGGGATTGGTGACCCCCTGCTCTTCCCAGCCCCTTTAAAAGGCTGTGGCTGCCACCTGAGCCCCTCAGCTCCTCAGCACTGGGGTGGAATCAGGTGAGGAGTTCTCCCTTTGCTCCCTCATTAATCCATTTTCCATGTCACCACGACATTTCTGCAATGCCCCAGGGCAAGGCTGAGGAGCTGGCAAGGGATGGGATCAGTCAGAAGGACAGAAGGCTCAGAAATCCGGGCTGTGGGGTGGGTTAAGGAGGAGGATGAGGAGAAGCCAGAGGTGCCACCTGAGCAGGGATGGTCTCTGGCACAGCCTCAGGTGCATTTTGGATTGATCTGGGTGCACTCCGAGGTTTGAGCCCACTCAAATCAGGTTTATAACTCGATAATGAGGATGAGGAGGGGGAAAATTGTGATCCCTCCTGCACAGGAACCAGGTGAGGAATCAGGTGAGGAGTTCTCCCTTTAGTCCATCATTAATCCACTGTCCATGCCACCACGACATTTCTGCAATGTCTGAGGAGCTGGCAAGAGATGGGATCAGTCATGGGGACAGAAGGCTCAGAAATCCGGGCTGTGAGGTGGGTTAGAGAGGAGGAGGATGATGATGATGATGAAGAGGAGAGCCCACAGCTGTGTGCTCCAGAAGCTCCAACCAGCCCAGTGAGTCCCAGTGAGGTTTGGCAGAGCAGCCAGGGCAGGAAGAGCAGGTTGGGCTGGGCTGCTGCAGAGCCAGAGGTGCCACCTGAGCAGGGATGGTCTCTGACACAGCCTCAGGGGCATTTTGGGTTTGTCTGGGTGCACTCCGAGGTTTGAGATCACTCAAATCAGGTTTTATTTTTATATATATATTTTATATATATATATATATATATCAGCACAGATTTCCTCACAGCACAGATTTTCCCCCTCCCCATCCTAATTATTGAGATATATATATGTATATATGTATATATAAATTATATATATATGTAAATTATATATATATGTATAAATTTTATATATATAATATAATGTAAAGATATATCATTTATATTATATATAACGATTTATATTATATATAATTATATATAACTATATAAATAAATGTAAATATACTGCTAAATTATATATAATATATAAATATATATTATATAAATAGAGAAATAATAGAAATATAAATGTATATCACTCGATTATATATACAATTTATAAAATAGATATATATTCTATATAATACATATAAATAAATAAAAATGTACATCACTCGATTATATATATATAATATATAAATATATATAAAATATACATCACTCAATTATGTATTATATATATAAAATATATATAATATATATAAATATATACATATCACTCTATATATAATATATAAAATGTATATAATATATATTATATATAAATATATAAAAGGTATAATGTATTATATTTGTTTGTTTGTCTGTTTATTTATTTATTTATTTATTTATTTATTTCACTCAATAACGAGGATGGGGAGGGGAAAATCTATGCTCTGAGGAAATCTGTGACCCCTCCTGCACAGCAGTCACCACTCCCTCAAGTGTTAATGGCCCAGCTCCGTGTTTGGAATGGCTCTGCAAAACCATCCCGCGGGCCTGCAGCCAGGGGAAGCTCACAGGGCAGGGGAGGATTTCTAAAGTTAAAACTCTGCAAAAATCCCAGAAAAGCTGGGGCAGATCTCTGAGGGATCCTGACTGTGCCCCAGCTGGGGATTGGCTCCTTGCACGTGTGAAAAACGCCAATCGCTTGTTTTTAAAATTTTAAAATTTAATTAGTAATGAAATGGTTATAAAAATAGTAATACAATTAGAGTAATAATAATTTGGACAGTTTGAATGAGGACAATATGAGACAATAGAGACAAAGAGTTATGGGCAATCTGGGTACATTTTTCTGGGCAGCAGGAGCCTGATAAAGGAGCTCCTCTGTTAATCCACGTTAACAGAGGATTAACCCTTAAAAACAACAGCCTGTTGCACATTCATACACCTCATTAGTGATGCATAAATTCCATTTAAACACAGGATTCTGTTTGGTCATCATCAACTTCTTCCTTCCAATCCTAACAGCGCCTTTGAGGCAGGAAGAAGTTCATTTTTTCTGATAGTGGAGCAATAAATTCTCTTTTTCTGAAAGATGCAGGTGTCCTGTGGCTGCTATCTCCCTGCCAGTCCTTTCTTTACAACAAGTATCCTACATAGCACAGTTTCTATTTTAACATTTTTTATCACCTAAAACTATATTTACCACACTACTCAAGACAATTAACACAGCATCACTTTCTAACACAACACATATAACATTCACTTTAATATTTGCCAAAAGCCAATAATAAAATACGTGCATTTTTCACACACAGCCACAAGGATTCTCCTTTCTGCAGAGGCAGCACATTCCTGCCCTCTGCGTGTTCCTACCTGCAGGGAGGGCAGGAATTGCTGGGGCTGCTTTGGTGTTTCAGGGCTCTGGAATCCTTTTGGGAAGTGGCAGAGCCTGCTGCTGGGAAAGCTGTCCCAGGAAGCCTTTAAAAAAATAAACAAACACCGAGATTTAGAGAGAAAAAAAATCCCATTTCAAAGCCTGGCTTTGAAGGGAAATTCGGTTTTACTGAAAAGTCCTGCAGGCTGGGCTGGGAGCAGTTTGGGATCAGCTGTTTGCTCACTATATCTCCCTTCCAGATGAGCCCAGATGTTCCTCCTGGTCATTGCTCAGTGGTTTTAAAAAACCTGGGCTCATTTATGTCACCAAAAAATCCATCAGGGCCTCTCAGCCCCCCCAAAGAGTCAGGATGGAGCCCCTGCCACCCGCAGAGGGTTTGGGGACAGCGTGGTGGCACTGGCTGCTGCTTTTGCCATAATTTTTTTATAATTTACACATAATTGTGCAACGACTCCACAGAGCCCATTAAACCCCCTACAAACAGAGGGATTTTGGGGAGAAATGAGGAATTTGGCACACACAGATTTGGGGGAGAACTATTCCTTTTCTGCTCTGGTTGTTTTGCATTCCCCAGTGTGAAAGGGGAGCTCAGAGTGTCCCAGGAGGGAATTCAGCCCAGCATTGTTCAGGCAGGGGCTCAGGGGACAATTTTCTGTCCTTGCCCTGCTCCAGGGAGCCCTGAGCATGTCTCACATCTTTCACAGCCCCAGCCTTTTGCTCACAGTTTTCTCGTGGATTTTTTTGGGGGTTTTTTGGGTTTTTTTTAAGGTTTTTTTTGTGGCTTAATTCTTCACATGAAAAATGGATGGGATTCAAGAAGCGAGAGCTGGCTCTGGCTTTTACAAGGGATTAAGAAATCGTTCTCCAGGCTGCTTTCCTCTTTTTTACTGCGGGACCACAGAGTATCTCTGGGACCCTGCTGAGTCAGCACAGGGCACAGCACAGAATTGGCTTTTGTTGGAGTTTTTTGTTGGGGTTTTTTGTTGGAGTTTTTTTTTCGTGGTTACATCACCCAGAGAAGACAAAGTGATTCTCCATCCCATGGAACTTGAAGGAAATTGAAAGGAAATGGAAATGGAAAGGAAAGGAAAGGGAAGAAGGAAAAGGAAAAGGGAAGGAAAGGGAAAAGGAAATTCCTTGCCCTGGCAGGTGGAGATGCAGGGCTCCAAAAAGGTGCAGAAGCAGGTGCTGATGTGAGCTCAGAGCTTTTTGGATTTCCAGTGCTGCATTCCTGAATATTGTGGTCAATTCGATGCTGCTCCGTGTTTTTCCCATTAGCAAAGCAGAGCAGTGAATGCCTTCATTCCTCTCCTGGGCCAGCAGAGGATGTTTCTGCCCCGCCAAATCAATTTGTCCTTGGGGCAGGGCGTGGAAGCAGCTCAGACACATTCCCAGCTCCCAAATCGCCGTTTATGTCGCGACATTGTCGCCTGGCCCCGGGGCAAACCACACCCGTTCACAGGACATTACCTGGACACCGATTTTTCCTGGCTGGTTTGGTGCTGTGGAAGGGATTTTTAAATAATTCTTTTGTTTTTCTAAGTCCTGGCTTGCAGCTGACACATTTTACAGCCTATCACGAGAAACAATCAAATGATGGAATTATGGTGTCTGTTATAGGCAGAGAGCACAGACCTTGTCCAAGGTTTGATTTTTCTCTTTGCGATGCTGAGATTTTAAATTTAAGGAAAAAAACCCCTCCTATTTGAAGTGTCTTTTTAAGGAAAAGGCACTTTTCCTCCTATTTTAAGGAAAAACCCTCCTGTTTGAAGTGCCTTTGAGCTGGTGGTTCAACAGAGAGCGCTGCTCATTTTTTGTTCTCTGCTGCCCGGCGCTTTGTGATAGAAAAAGAGGAAAAATAAAATTAATTCTCAGCACTTGGGGGTGTGCTAAAATACCCGAAGTCTGGAGTTGAATTTGAAACTCATAAATTCCAGGGCTAAGAAAAAATAAAATAAAAATACAGTCTTTGTCTGGAGGACTTTGTGCCTCTGACATTAGCAGGACAAAACCTCCTGTGATTTTTGATGGGTTTGGCTGGGTGGGGAGATGAATGGTGGTGTTGTGTTGGGGATCTGTGTTGGGAATATCCAAATCCTGATGCCAGGAGACGTTCTGGACCCCTCCCACACGAGGAGCAGGAGGGGCTGGAGCAGAGAAATGCAGAATCAGAGGAATTGGATCATCCCTGGCAAAATTCCTCAGAATCAGAGGAATTGGTTCAGTTCTGGCAAAGTTCCTCAGAATCAGAGGAACTGGATAATCCCTGGCAGAGTTCCTCCTGTGTGGATCTGAGTCGTGTGGGTTGGAGGGAGCTGCTGCGTCCAGAGCATCACAGAATTAATTAACTGTGACACAGAATTAATTAACTGTGCAGACAAAGAGTGTGGCTGGAGTGGGAAATGGATATAAACATCAGCATTAGCAAGGAAGGGGAAATAGATGGAGAAATAACTGGGGCTGCTGACTTGAATGCGTTTGTGGCTTTTTTATCATTTTGTTGTCAGTGACATTCTTTATTTTCTGCTTTTTGCAGGTTCTGTGGGCTCATATTCAGGTGAGTGGCATCTCTGGAAATCTGCCAGGTTTTGTGATCATGAGAGGGGTGAGAGGATCCCTGATTCCATGGCTTTCATTCCTAACAGGGGCTTCCATTCCTAAATTCCATGGATTATCCATCCCATGCACTGGCATCCCTAAACCTGCATTAAATTTGGGTTCAGGATTAGGAAGGGTGGGCTGGACAGCTCGAGTGTGCAGTCCTGATAACAGACATGAATGAAATCTGTGGTTTAAAGTTTAATTTATTAGGGAAAGGTCCTTCCCCCTGAGGGGGCACTGATCAGGTTCCCCAGGGAATGGTCCCAGCCCCAAGAGCTCCAGGAACATTTGGATCCCTCCCAGGGATGCACAGAGTGGGGCTGTTGGGGTTCCTGCGCAGGGATAAGATTGGATCAGTGATTTCTGGGTCCCTTGCAGCTCAGGATTCTCCATGGCAGTGCCCCATGCTGCTCTTGAAACCGAATCAAAAACCGTGCAGAGATTCCAGCACGGTTCCCACCCCATTAACTCCATGGTCCAAGAGCCCCAGGATGGCACTCTCAGGGATGCACAGAGTGGGGCTGTTGGGGTTCCTGTGCAGGGATAAGACTGGATCAGTGATTCTGTGGGTCCCTTCCAGCTCAGGATTCTTTGATTCTCCATGACATTGTCCCATGCTGGTCTTGAAACCAGAATGAAAACCGCGTAGAGACTCCAGCTGCTTGTTCCCACCCCATTAACTCCGTAACCCCACAACTCTTTTTTCTGCTGGTTTTTCCAGTCCCAGCTGACGCCTCCAACCCCTCCAGCAGCGTGGTGGTGTCGGTGCTGAACATCAGTGCGGCCCTGGGCTCGCAGGCCGTGCTGCCCTGCAAGAGCCACCGCATGGTGTGGACCCAGGACCGCCTGAACGACCGGCAGCGCGTGGTGCACTGGGACCTGCTCAGCTCCTACTTTGGGGACGGCAGGATGGAGAGGCTCTGCGACATGTACTCGGCTGGGGACCAGCGTGTCTACAGCTCCTACAACCAGGGCAGGATCCTCATGCCGGAGAATGCCTTTGCAGATGGGAATTTCTCGCTGGTGATCAAAGGTGGGGAGGGTTTTTCACCCCTCCTCGATGGGTTTTGGTGGGAATGGGTGGTTCACAGGATGGTTTTTGATAAACAGGTGATTGAGGTGTTAGGGCATGGGTTGGGCTTGATGGTCGCTAAGGTCTCTTCCAACCTGGTCATTCTGTGAATTCTGTGAATATCAGGTTAAAAAGTCAAATTCTCAGGAGGAATTTTAGGGTTTGGAACTGCCCAGGGAGGTGGGGGAGACCCCATCCCTGGTCTGGGAGCAATTTTAGGTGTTCCTGGCTGTCCTTGACACTTGGAATTCAGGGTTTGGGAGCAATCTCAGAGCACTGGTTTTGGTGGGAATTGGTGGTTCACAGCATGTTTTTGATAAATGGTTTGTGGTTTTATTGAGGTGTTAGGGCATGGGTTGGACTTGATGGTCTCTAAGGTCTCTTCCAACCTGGTCATTCTGTGAATTCTGTGAATATCAGGTTAATAAGTTGAATTCTCAGGAGGAATTTTAGGGTTTGGAACTGCCCAGGGAGGTGGGGGAGACACTTGGAATTCAGGGTTTGGGAGCAATCTCAATGAAAGAGGATTTGTAACAACCTGAAAGCCACCTGGGCTTTTTGTGGCCCTTTGGTTGTGACTCAGTTCCTGAACTATAAACACTCCATAGTCATTGTTCCTGTGCCTGCTCGCAGCTAAACCCAAACCAGCTTCCTCTTTCCACCTGTTAATAGAAATACACACATTTCTACTCACAAGAAATACACAAATTTCTGCTCAGAAGAGCAAATCAATTCCTAATTTCATTAGGTGACCAAATCATTATATTGGGTGAGATGATTTATCTTCGCTTAACCCACCCAGGCGATAAGGATGGCTTAGAATGAAGTTGTTTACATCAAGGATTTGGGAAACTGACACAAATCATCATTGTCTCAGTATAAACCACTGAATCCCCCTCTTTTCCCTGCTCTCCAGGTGTGGCAGAGAGTGATGCAGGCACCTATTCCTGCAACCTTCACCACCACTACTGCCACTTGTACGAGACTGTGAAAGTCCAGCTGGTCATCGCCAAGAGAGGTGGGTGTGGGGACAGTTTTGGTTTTACAGGTGCCACAGGAGGCTTGGGAAGCAGCAGCAGGAAAACCTGGAGCTCCTTGTCCTGTTTGCTGCCTGCTTCTCTGAGTTTCAGAGGGTTTATTTACAAAAATCTCATTTTCCTTGGCCAGACAGTGCCTGCTCAGCTCAGTGTTTGCTCTTTACCAAACTGTTCCTGATGCAGCAACAGCACATCCCTGGTGACAATTCCCCCACGGTGACAATCCCCACCCTCATCCCAGCCACAAGGACCAGCCTGTTCTCTTGCTGCTGAGCTTATCCTATCCATTCTGTCCTTAAAACCCACCCCACCTTAAGCCCAGCTCTAACATCCAGCTGTTGGCAGCTGCAGGGAGTCCCACCCACCCACACAGGCACCCCTGAAAAATCCATTTAAACCTCTGGGTGACACCAGTGGAGCTGCTGGGGTGGGAGTGCATCTCCTCCGCTGCAATAAAAACACCCTGAGAGCCCCAAGCTGCTCCTCTGTGCTCTGGCTTCCTCTGTTATTCCTTTTTCAAGAGCCAAAATCAGAGCAGCTCCTCCAGTAATTAGGGCCTTTGTGGGTAGGAAAGCATTTCCTGCTCAGGGGATTGGGATGAAGATCCTCGTTCCATTCTTAGCCTGTGGAGGGAATTTGCTTCCTGCTCTCTGAAGCAGGAGATTAACTCTGAGTTAGGAGGAGGAGAAAGTGGCCTTGCCTCATGAAACGGCCAAGGCTGTTAGAGGATAAAGGTGGTTTTTTTTTACTAACTGGTGAAATAAATGTGAAAAAGCCAGGGGTGTTAATGTTAGTGCATGTTCAGGCTGTGCCATGTGGCACTTTTAAGATTTTGACCTTTTAAGATTTTGGGAGGGGGTGTGTTACAGGATTCCAATCTTGCGTAGTTTTGGGATTTCAAGAGAGCAGTCTCTGGCTGTTCTTGACACTTGGAATTCAGGATTCCAGGGTGTGGCAGCAGTCTCAGGTGTCTCTCGGTGTATTTGACACTTGGTGTTGAGTGGGAATTTTGCATCGCCTGCATCCACACATGCAACAGCAAACTGGCCTAGAATGTTGCTGATTTTGGCCAAGGAAAGAAAACCTGGGTGATGCCTCAGGTTTAGATTTTCTGTTTTTCAGATTCTGTGCTGCTTTAGTGCATAGTTCTGAGCGTTATATTATGGGATGGTGAGCTCTGTGCTCAGAGCAGGGAGACAAAACAATTCCTGCCAGCTGGGCACCAAGGACAAATGATCCAAATCTCAGCCCAGGAGCACAAACACCGTGGGCTGGAGAGGGAAAAACAAGGATGGGACTGCAGGGGCTAAAGCTGGAATGGGACAATGCACTCCAAGATGTAAATGGACTAAAATTGATAATTTTGTGACCGATCATCCATTTCTTGGGACCATTTTGGTTCACCCTGGGACCATTTTAGTTCATCCTGGCTGGACTCTTGTGCTGCCCAAAGTGGATCCATCGAGGAGATCCTTTTCATAAATCCCTGCTTTATTCTTTAACTCTGTCCAGTCTCTGTTCTAGACCAGCTTTCAGAAGGCATCCCTCCAAATATTTCCAAGAAGCTGCTGCTCAGGTTGAAGTGTGTTTTCTTCTCCCCATCTCCCAGATTTTTCCTCCTTTTTCTCTGTAGTGGAGCAAACCCATTCCAAGGCTGTGTTCCCCTCCAGGGTCTTGTGCTGCCCAAGGGGGATCCTTTATCCTTTCCATAAATCCCTGCTTTATTCTTTAAGTCTGTTTAGTCTGTTCTAGGTCAGCCTTCACAAACCATCACAGGAAGGAAACTTAAGTCAATTATGTTGGAAAAACAGGACAGGTGGAACAAAACTGGGGGAGCAAACCCATTCCAAGGTTGTGTTCCCCTCCAGACTCTCGTGCTGCCCAAGGTGGATCCATGGAGGAGATCCTTTTAAAAAATCCCTGCTTTATTCTGTAACTCTGCTCGGCCTCTGTTCTAGCTCAGCCTACAAAAAGCATCACGGGAAGGAAATTTAAGTAGATTTTGTGGAGGGGAAAAGGACAGCTGGGGCAAAACCAGTGGAGCAAATGGAGCAAACCCATTCCAAGTTGTGTTCCCCGCAGACGAGGAGCCCAGCGACTACTGGGACGGCGAGAAGCCGGTGCTGGTGGCCCCGGAGGGCAGCACGGTGACGCTGCCGTGCGTGAACCGCCAGCACATCTGGACGGAGCGGCACAGCGAGGAGGAGCAGCAGGTGGTGCACTGGGACCGGCAGCCCCCGGGCGTGCCCCAGGACCGCGCCGACCGCCTGGTGGATCTGTACGCGTCCGGCGAGCGCCGCTCCTACGGGCCCCAGTTCCTGAGGCAGAAGATGAACGTGAGCCGCGGAGCCTTCGGCCTCGGGGACTTCTCGCTGCGCATCTCGCGCCTGGAGAGCGCCGACGAGGGCACCTACTCGTGCCACCTGCACCACCACTACTGCGGGCTGCACGAGCGCAGGATCTACCACCTGGCCGTCACCGAGCCGCAGAGGGACAGCAGGGTGGTCAACATCACGGTGCCCGCCGCAGGTGAGTGGTGTCACTGTAGAAATGGGCACTGAGGGTGGAGAACATCACGGTCCCTGCTGCAGGTGAGTAATGTCCCTGTAGAGATGGGAACTAAAGGTGGTGAACATCACGGTCCCTGCTGCAGGTGAGTGGCTTCTGCTGTCCCTGTAGAGATGGGCACTGTTACAGTTATCACATTAATTTAAAGGAATGTTTTGGGTTCTCAGTTTGCTTTTTCTGCCTCTGTTGAGGTTGGGACTGAAGGCATTTGAGACCATGGTTCGTGTTCAGACTCAGGTGTTTGTTAGTTCTTATCTGTGTTACGGCCCCACCGCAGTGAGTTGTGCAGTTCTTCACCAAGAAGGCACAAAATGGCCAACTGTCTCTTGTTACAAGGTCTTTTAAGGCTAAACTGTCCAATTAAGAAATTACACCTAAATTATTTTCACTTTTAACCCAATAACTAATCCCTTTTCTGTCCAATTACACAAAACCACCGAAACCCATGGAAAAGAAGGAAGAATAAGGTAAAGAAGAACAACCTGCCTCTGCCCTAAATCCTCCATCTTGCTTCATATTTATTTCTATATTCTAAAACCCCAAACTCTCAGTTTTCCACCCTGTGATATTACACATTTCTAACCAACTCCACACCCACGATCCCAGTTCTATCATTCCATTCTGGAAGCTTCTCCACAGCCTCAGACCAATGCTGTGCTCTCCAGGGGCTCAGAGTCTGTCTGTACAGAAAGTTTGAATTTCTCAACACCCAGGGCTCCAACAGAATGGGACCACAATTGTACTAAGAATTATTTATTGCTCAGATAAACATCAGAGGCTGTGACATTTCCAAGAGCAAGCAGCCAGCCACAGCTCAGGACAGTCACAGGTTCTTCATTACCAGGCAATGTGGAGCTTTTAACCCAGTGTTGCCACAGGATTTATTTTGCTTTTCTCACCTATCACCTTCCCTTACTGCCCGAGGGCAGTTCTGCACTGCTGGCAGGCCCTGAGGCAAAAAAGCTGGCTTTGGTTTGTATTTTTATATTTTGTATTTTTTATTTTTTTTGTATTTTTTCCCCTTTTTATTGGCTCTCTTTCCTCCATGCTTTTATGGAGGTGTGGGCAGGGGGTTGATGCAGCCTTGCCTTTACTCTCCCAAACTCTTCCCAGCAGAGTTTTTCAGTTTTTCTCCTTCTCTCCCCTTTGCACGGATGTTTGGGCTGTGCAAGGTGCCAGACCATGCAGAATCAACCACCAGGATTTTTCTTTCCTCCACCCTTTTTTTTTCCTTTTTTTTTTTTGTGTGTGTGTGTGCCATAAACCAATTTTCATATTTTCCACTGCACTGAGCTATCATCTCTCAGCCTGTCCAAACTCAAAACCATCACACTTCGTTCAGGCAGAAAAAGAAAACAAAACCCCCAAGTTTAACATATATATATTTTTAAAGTGTTTTGGGTATAATTCTTTATTAACACTTTAAAATATTCATTGTGTTTTAATATTTATTGGCTCTTTAATACAGAATTTTGATTCACTTCATACATTTTTAACAGGTTTATTTTTAAATAGGTTTATTCTCCTGTAAGAAATTGGCCTTCTCAAGTCATAGAGACATAAACTCTTCCCCTGGGGCTAAAGTTGGTGTCCAGAAAATCCAAGCAGTGCTGAGAGGCGTGGCTGGAGACCAGAGCATCCAAATATCAGAGTTCCTGCACACAGCCCTTGAGCTTATCCCCAGATGGAAGCCAGATTTTGTTTCCAGGGTAGATTCCCCAGTTATCAAATGGGACACATCCCGTTGCCCAAAATTATTAAATCTCAGTTTCCACTCTTTGTTTTTGCAGCGTTCTCCTCAGTTTTGCCTGAAGTTCAAACCCAGCTCTGTGGGAAAGCAAAAATCCAGGAATAGAAATCCCTGCGTTTGCTGTGGCACCATCTCATTATGGCAGCAATAATGAGCCAGGGGTGGGACCGGGCAGAGCTGTCACATGTGCTGTTTGCAGCTTTGCAAGTGGCTTCCTTGGCTTGAATTGTTGTTTTTCAGCTTGGCAGGGTGGAAATCCCATGGCTTTTCCAGCTCTGTGTGCAGGGAGAGCTGGAAATCCCAGTAGAAAGCAGAGTGGAGCACTGGGCCACCAGAACAGAGCACGTTGCTCAAGGTTTTTGATTTTCTAGGAGTGCTGTTGGCATTAGCAAACCATCAGCTCTGGTTTCAGAGTGTTTATTTCCACCCACTCTTGCTTGATTTAATTTGATTTTCGCTGGTGTTTTGGTGTTTTTAAACATTGGAAAGAAACTGCCCAAAAACCTGGAGGCAGTCCCAGCACTGCCAGAAGAGTCAGGACACATCTGTGAAGGGTGCTGTGGCTTTTGGGGTATTTTTGAGATATTATTTCCCCCATTTTTGCCCTTATTCCCTCTGGGGAATTTGCAGGGAAACTCCCAAGGGAATGGGAGGTGAGGGCTCCATCCTGATCTTGCCTGGTGCTCTGTGAAAATTCTGGAAGGGGTTGAAGGTTGATTTAATTTGATTTTTGCTGGGTTGGTGTTTTTAAACATTGGAAACAAACTGCCCAAAAAACTGGAGGCAATCTCGGTGCTAGAAAAGTCAGGATACATCTGCTGAAGGCTTTTGGGGTATTTTTGAGATTTTACTTCCCCCATTTTTCCCCTTATTCCCTCTGGGGAATTAGCAGGGGGATCTCCCAAGGGCTCCATCCTGATCTTGCCTGGTGCTCTGTGAAAATTCTGAAGGTTGATTTAATTTGATTTTTGCTGGGTTTTTAAACATTGGAAACTGCCCAAAAAGCTGGAGGCAGTCCCAGTGCCAGCACTGCCAGAAGTGCCAGGACACATCTGTGAAGGATGCTGTGGTTTTTGGGGTATTTTTGAGATATTATTTCCCCCTTATTTTTGCCCTTATTCCCTCTGGGAAATTAGCAGGGGGCTCTCCCAAGGGCTCCATCCTGATCTTGCCTGGTTCTCTGTGAAAATTCCCTGTATTGGGAATCTCTTCAGCTCAGTTTTGAGGGAAAAATCCCTCTCTCCCAGCAGAGCCCTGTGGGATTCCATCCATGCCTGGCCTGCCTTTGTCCATTCCTCTGACTGTTGCAAGCAGAGAAGTCACTTCCTCTTTACATGTGTAAAACATTGACCTATTTATTTGAGATCTACAAAAGAAAAAAATGTTCCACATAAAAGCTCTGAGCTCCCCTTTCCTGTGCTGCGGAGCAGAAATCCTGCTGCACCCTCCAAAGGAATGGAATTTTGGCTTTCTTCTGCTTTTTGGGGGGGTTTATTTGTTTTATTGATTCTATTTCATTTCAAAGGAAGCTCATTTTTTTGGCTCTGAAAACTCTTCCCACTCCATAAATTACAACCCTTGGCAAGGAGGGGCTGCTGGCTGGAGCCAGAGCAGATTTGGAGTTTGTGTTGAAAGGGACCCAGAGGAGAATTTTGGGAAGGTTTGGGACTGAAATTCCCCCCTGCAAGAACACTTGGGATCCTGTGAAACACTGGGAATTATGATAAATCATAATTTAGGCACTGGGAATTGTGATAAATCATAATTTAGGCACTGATTAATTCTGGGAATTCAAAATTCCTCCCTGAGCATTCCCACCTGGCATTGTGGGACGCTCTGGAAGGTTTGGGACTGGATTTGCTCTGAAATTCCCCCCTCCAAGAGCACTCTGATGGCCAGGGATCCTGTTAAACCCTGAGAATTAAGATAAATCATAATTTAGGCACTGGGAATTATAATAAATCATAATTTAGGCACTGATTAATTCTTGCAATTCAGAATTCCTCCCTGATCATTGTAGAACCCCCTGGAAGGTTTGGGGTTGGTTTTTCTCTGGAATTCTCTTTGCAAGAACGTTCTAATGGCCAAGGATCACTGATCTCAGCGAAGGGATCCTGTTAGACCCTGGGATTTGTGATAAATTATAATTTAGGCACTGATTAATTCTTGCAGTTCAGGATTCCTCCCTGAGCATTGTGGGACTCTCTGGAAGGTTTGGGGCTGAAATTCCCTTTGCAAGAGCACTCTGATGGCCAGAAATCACTCATCCCAGGGAAGGGATCCTATTAAACCCTGGGAATTGTGATAAATCATAATTTCGGCACTGATTAATTCTTGCAATTTGGAATTCCCACCTGCGACCTCACTCCCAGTTCTCCTTCCCTCAGATCCCAACGTGGTCAGGGGCCACAATGTCATCAATGTCATCATCCCCGAGGGCAGGATGCACTTCTTCCAGCAGCTGGGCTACGTCCTGGCCACCCTGCTGCTCTTCCTCGTCCTCCTCATCATCGTGGCGCTCGTCACCCGCAGGCGCCGGCACAGAGGTGAGCCCAGGGAAATGCTGGGATAATTCCTGCAAGGAGCAGGGAGCCCCTCTGGAACACCAGGAACCTGCCCAGGGGGAGGATTTAAAGGCTGGTTTGGTGGTAAAATATCCAGGCTTTGATTTTATGGAGTTGTTGGGGTTGGAAAAGACCTCCAGGGTCATCACATCCTGTAGAAGGGAGAAGAAAATCCCTTCACAAGTGGGATTTGTCCTTTGGGGGGCCAGGTGTCCAGGATTTGCAAGGTTGGTTTGGTGGAAAAATACCAGGCCTTGATTTTATGGAATTGTTTGGGTTGGAAAAGACCTCCAAGGTCATCATCTCCAGGCTTTGGCTGCATCCCACTCATGATTTGCTGTGTAGAAGAGAGAAAAAAGCCCTTCCCAGGTGGGATTTATCCCTTGGGAACTTAGGTGTCCAGGATTTGCAGGGCTGGTCTGGTGTAAAAATACCAGGCCTTGATTTCATGGAAAAGACCTCCAGGGTCATCAAATCCAGGCTTTGGCTGAACCCCGCTCATGATTTGCTGATTTGTTCCATAGAAGGGAGAAGAAAAACCCTTCCCAGGTGGGATTTATCCCTTGGGAACTCAGGTGTCCAGGATTTGCAGGGCTGATTTGGTGTAGAAATGTCCAGGCCTTGATTTTATGGAGTTGCTGAGGCTGGAAAAGGCCTCCAAGGTCTTCACATCCAGAACCCCACTCATGAATTGCTCTGTAGAAAGGAGAAGCAAAGCCCTTCTCAGATGGGATTAATCCCCAGGGAGCTCAGGTGTCCAGGATTTGCAGGTCAGATGTGGTGTAAAAATACCAGGCCTTGATTTCATGGAATTTTTGGGGTTTGAAAAGACCTCCAAGGTCATCACCTCCTGTAGAAGGGAGAAAAAAGCCCTTCACAAATGGGATTTAACCCTGGGGAGCTCAGGTGTCCAGGATTTGCAGGGCTGGTCTGGTGTAAAAATGTCCAGGTTTTGATTTTGTGAAGTTCTTGGGATTGGAAACCCCTCAGAACTGGTTTTTGGTGCCACACAAAACCACCAACCCCAGGAATGGGCCTGGACTGGCTGTGAGTGCTCATTCTGCTTTTTCCTCCTGCTCAGGTTATGAGTACAACGTGAAGAAATACGGAGAGTAAGTATAATAAATTTTAATACTATTAATATTGTTAATTAGGCTTAGAATGCATTCAAGTGAAATAATTTAAATTTCCTCCTCAGCTAAGAGCCTAAACCAGCTGGAAATCTGGTTAGGAGGAGGAAGTAAAAGGAAAAAATTGTGGGGCGGATTTGTAATTGAATTTCCTCTTGTTGCTCTTTGGGATCTGATTGAGGGGTGAAGTTTCTGTGAGATGTCCTTGGGAGCTGGTGGGAAGGAATAATGCACAGATCTGCTGTGAAATGGGGCCAAGATCATGGAGCTGGGCTCCTCCAGATCTTATTTTATAGGATTAAAGTGGAAAAAAAAGGAAATTTCGGGATTGGCTGCCCATTGTTCTAAGATCAGGACAAACAGATGGGGAAAAAAATTAAAAATTAAATAAATACTCTATAAAGAATTAGAAAAGCTAAGGGGAAAAAGTGTGAAAGGAGCCAGATATTAAAAAATGAGACAATTCCATTTTCCACCTTTATTCCCTTTCCAGGAAGGATGTGAACCTTAAAGAATTTACAGTGGACACAACAGATCTGACCCCACACAAAAGTGAAGACATCAGGCTGGGTAGGTATCCCTGGCACCAAACCAGGTCACAACCCTGGAAATCTGAAATTTCCAATGGCACTTGCATATTTGGAAGTGACTTAACCCATTCTTTACCTTCTGAAAGTGGGGATGGACTTTATTTGACCAAAATAAAGTAAGGAGAATCCTGAGTTAGCTGAGTTCATTTTCTCCACCTTCTGTTCCCCAATAAAGGCAGAACCTTTAAAGAAAAAGCTGACAAACCCAGGAATTGCTGTAAAGGCCCCAGCAAACAAAAAATCTGGAAGTAAAGAAAGGAATTGCAGAGGGTGGGTTGCAAAAATCTAGGGTTTTTAATATAATAAAAATGTATATTAATATATAATATATTTATATATTACATTATTATGTTAATGTTAATATTTTTAATATTATATTTTATTATTACAGTATAATAATATTGATGATGATGATAATAATGATAATAATGATCACCTCTGTGTTGCTCACCAAATCTTGTTTTATTTTAATATCCTGTGTGAATTCTGCTCCTCCCTCGCACAGATTACAAAAACAACATCCTGAAGGAGAAGGCTGAGCAAGCCAGAAGCTGCCCAGCAAAGAACATTGATTTAGACAAAGGTAATCATCACTTTCTTCCCTTTAATTGCTGGCTGTTCTGATGGGAACAGCCCATCAGTGAGTGACCAAGCCACGGCCAAAGAGGAATGAGAAACCTCATGGCAAAAGCAGGAATGAGAAGGCAGCTGCATTCCCATCCTTTCATCAGGGAGCCACAAGATGCAAGCAGTGATTTGGCTTTTAAAAGCTTTAAAATCAAGAATTTTTCTTGATTTCCACAAGATGCAAGCAGTGGTTTGGCTTTTAAAAGCTTTGGGCATGGCACAGATTGGAATTTTTCTTGATTTCCACAAGATTTGGCTTTTAAAAGCTTTGGGCATGGTACAGATTGGAATTTTTCTTGATTTCCACAAGATTTGGCTTTTAAAAGCTTTGGCCATGGCACAAATTGGGATTTTCCTTGTGATCAGCCCTGGGATTCCATGACTCACTCCAGGGCAACGAGGATTTAATAAATGGGGCTGAAATGACCCCAAGATGGGATGGAGAGCCCAGGAGCTGTCCCTGATGGAATTCTCCTGGAATTTTCTCCTGCAGGGTGGGTCTGGGCAATAATTTACCCTCAATCTCTCTCACTGGGGGAGATTTTTGATATCAGGGTTCTGGGTGACTGCAAATGCTCGCCCTATAAAAATCCATATTTTTGTGCTTCTTTGAATGTTTTAAATCTCTCTCCAGGTGTGCTGACCCCCTTTTCCATTTGCTTTCAGATTTCAGGAAGGAATATTGTAAATGAAGACGCTCCCAAGCTGCTGGCTGGACCAGAAGCTTCCATCCAAGATAGATAACGTGGAAAAGAGATGGTTTTTCTTAATTCCATCTTTAATTCCATCTCCCTCCAGCTCCCACAGAACTTTTTCCACATCCACTTTTTTTCTTTTTTCTCCCCCCACACAAGGGTGCAAATGCTTCATGGAAGAGTTAAACTGCCTTGTGTGCATTTATGGGGTTGGGTTGCCTTTTCTCCTTCCTCTGCTCTCCCAACCCTCCCTCCTTCCCCTTTCTTTCTTAACAATTACTGTTGGATTTTATGCATCAAATTATTTTTATGAGCTGAATCAGCAGAGGTTTTGCTTTGACGTTTCAATGACACAAACCCTACAGCATTTCCATACTGTAGGAAATTCCATTTATAAGAATCACTACATCACCATACTGTGTTACATGTTTTTTAAACCCTAAAAACATTTCAATCTCGTTTATAGTTTCTATATTCTCAAAATCATTTGCCAGGCAATCATCTCCATAAGCCTTTCGTGTCTCTGCTGCACCAAAGCTGCGGAGAGAGTTGGGGGGGGGGGGAGAGTGGCGGCGGGGCCGTGCTGTAGAACTGCGCATGCGTGCGGCTGATCCCGGCAGCAGCTGGTGCGGGGTTGTAGCAATGCGCATGCGTGGGGAGCCATGGCGGGCGGGCGGCGGCGGAGCTGCGGGAACTGGAGCCGGGGCTGCGGCGGCGGCCGTGGAAGGGAGCGCCGGGGCGGCCGCGGTCGTAGGAGACGGCGGCAGGGACAGGGACAGCCGTGGGTGTCTGCCGTGCCGCGCGGCCCGCGGGCAGCTCGGGGTGGGAGGAAGGCTTCCCGCGGCAGCGCGCACAGGGGGCGCTGGGGACGCAGCGGGGCCGCGCCGGGCAGGCTCGGCACCGCGGATCCGGGAGCCGCACGGGGCTGCAGAGACGCGGCAGCAGCGACGGGACTCGGGCCAGCACCGGCGCTGGGTCGGCCAAGGGGGCGAGGGGGACTTGGGGGCGGCAGGAGCGGCCGCGCTCGCGGGGAGGAAGCGGCGGGGGCGGGAGGGGGCGGTGCCGCCGGTGGGCGGGATTGAGGGGCGGGTCCGCGGTAGCCGCGGCGGCCGGGACTGGTAGAACGGCAAAGGCGGGGATGGCGGGACCGGTGGGAGGGGCCGGGGGCTTGGCTGGGGGCGGGGCGGTGAGGGTAAGCCGGAATGCGGCTACCGGAGCTGCGGGGTCCGACGGGGAGGCGGGGGCGTGTCCCGTTGGAGAATCGCGGCATCAAGGGGTGGAGCTGGGCGGGGCGGGCGCTGGGGCATCACCCGTGCAGCAACAAGCTCCAGCAGCGCCCTGCAGGCTGGGACCGGCTCCGCGGCAGCCATGGCCCGGCGGGAAATGCAATAAAGTTCCTTAAATAACTGTGTCCCAAGTTTTTGGTAAAGGAGTTAACGGCACTGCCCTTTGCGACATTGCTACTTTACTGCACCTTTACGACAGTGTTGCTTTACGTCACATTTTACGACAGTTCTGTTTTACGTCACCTTTTACGTCAGTGTCTGCTTTACGGCACCTTTCACGACACTTCTGCTTTACGGCGCATTTTACGACAGTGCTGCTTTACGGCGGCCTTTACGACAGTTCTGCTTTACGGCACCTTTTACGACAGCGTTTGCTTTACTGCACCTTTTACGACAATGCTGATTTACGGCACCTTTTACGACAGTGTTGCTTTACGGCACCTTTTACGACAGTGATGTTTTACGGCGCCTTTTACGTCAGTGCCTGCTTTACGGCACCTTTTACGACAGTTGCTTTACGGCGCCTTTTACGACAGTGATGTTTTACGGCACCTTTTACGACAGTGTTTGCTTTACTGCACCTTTTACGACAATGTTGATTTACGGCACCTTTTACGACAGTGTTGCTTTACGGCACCTTTTACGACAGTGTTGCTTTACGGCACCTTTTACGACAGTGATGTTTTACGGCGCCTTTTACGTCAGTGCCTGCTTTACGGCACCTTTTACGACTGTTGCTTTACGGCGCCTTTTACGACAGTTCTGCTTTACGGCACCTTTTACGACAGCGTTTCTTTACGGCACCTTTTACGACAGAGTTGCTTTACGACACCTGCTTTACGGTGCATTTTACGACAGGCCTGCTTTACGGCGCCTTTTACGTCAGTGTCTGCTTTACAGCACCTTTTACGACAGAGTTGCTTTACGGCGCCTTTTACGACAGTTCTGCTTTACGGCACCTTTTACGACAGCGTTGCTTTACGGCACCTTTTACGACAGAGTTGCTTTACGACACCTTTTACGACACCTGCTTTACGGTGCATTTTACGACAGGCCTGCTTTACGGCGCCTTTTACGACAGTTCTGGTTTACGGCACCTTTTACGACAGTGTTGCTTTACGGCACCTTTTACGACGGTTCTGCTTTACGGCACCTTTTACGACAGTTCTGTTTTACGACACCTTTTTCTACAGTGTTTGCTTTACGGCACCTTTTACGACAGTTCTGCTTTACGGATGTGTTCACGACAGTGTTGCTTTACGACACCTTTTACGACAGTTCCCGTTTTACGGCTGTGTTTACGGCAGTGTTGCTTTACTGCACCTTTTGCGGCAGTCGCGCTTTACGGCCGTAGTTACAACAGTGCTGCTTTACGGCACCTTTTACGACCGGTTTTGCGATAGTGCTGCTTTACAGCAGTTTTACAACATTTGAAATAGCCCAGGTTTGGGTTGGTGCTGAGCAGAGGGCAGTGAGAAGAAAGGGAGAAGGCTGTGCTGTAGGGCAGGTGAATGCAGGCAGAGCCAATTTGGGGAGCAGCCTTGTCTAACAGCATTTCATTTTCCAGTTCTACTGCCTTGCATTTCATTTTGCACTTCTGCTAGAACTGCATGTCAACAGGTTTCAAATATCCTCCTCAGTCCCAGTAGCCTACTTGAATGTGCTGTGTCTTTTTCAGACCATTGATGGTCCTTCTGAAATGTGAGTCTCACTGGCTGCATCCAAACCTTGTGCTTGAAGAGCATTCCCAATTAAAGCAGGTTGGGCTTTTGGGGAAGAAGGGGCTGCAAAGCATTTCCTAAAGCATTTTCTGCTCCAATTTCATTGTGAGGAAATACACCTGAAGGATGATGCAGGGACTAGGTTTGAGACAAAGATGAGTTTGGTGGGTCAGTTTTACTTTGAGAACTTGAGAAGCACGGGAAGCCCAAGTGGTGATCCCAGAGGGTTGAACACAGAGGTTTCACCCTCCCAGATATACAAGGGCCTTAACCTTAAACCCACTGCTCTCAGCACGGAGCTGTCTCAATGCTGCGTTAATGTTTTCTCCTCTTTGTGCATGTGTAGAATTGAAATTCCTCTTGGGGAGGAAGCTTATTCCAAGTAAATTCCTAAAGAATCAGCTGAAAAAAACCACTAAAATGTTCTTTCACTTGGTTTGCTACTCCCTGCCAAATGTGTGTGCATGCCAGGTCTTGAGCCTGGTACTGGAGCTGAGCCTTGAAGGAGGAATTGAAACAATGGATACAAATGCAAGTAATAATACAATATACATATACAAACAAGTAGAAGTCCAATTTACATAGAGGGAATGCATGAAAACACAGCAGCAAATGCAAATTCAGAACAATACAGGGTACTACAAGCCAAATACATATGAACACAATATAACCATTTTTCTATTTCTGAAAAGGTGAATACACCTTGCTTTATTGATACAGGAGACCACAATATAAGCCAAAACAGGTACACACAGTATAAGCACACACTGTAAGCCAACATAATTACATGCAATATAAGTACATACAATATAAGCCAACATTTAAGGAAATAACATAAAAAAATAGGGGTACCCATAGCAAGCATATGTATAAGCTGTCTTTATTTAAAGATCCGCTTTAATGGACATTTTGTGGAACCACTCTGAGGGCAAGGTCCAAAAAGCTTTGTTAACCCCTTGTCCTCCACTGGTTGGGCAGCATCTGACCCCAATGCTCAAGGGCTGCATGGAGATTCCTCCCTGGAGTGGGCTTACCCCTTGAGGATGAGCCACAAAGATTTGATTGTTGGACTGGTTGAGTAACTATTTCTACTTAGTAATTGTTTTTGCTGGCTTTAATTCCATGGCTGCAGTGTTCCTTCAGATGTCATGCCCTGCTCCAGCAGTTATAGCTCCTGTGCTGGGCAGGGAATGCTTCTGGGGAAGGGCTTTCAGTCTCATTAGTTCCCATTTAAATCAATCAAGCTATATCTAAGTACTGGTGGCCAAAGGTTTTACCACTTGCCTCTGATTCATCCGGCATTGGCCGGAGATTTGTGGGAGCTGGTGGACTGTTCTACTCCTCATTATTTCCCAAACAGAATTTGGCTAACTAGAAGAGGCACAGATGATGCCTGCAATTTTGTGACATGAAGAAACAGGCTGTCACTGGAGGGTCCCAGACCTTTGCTTCCTCAGCCTCTGCAGATCTGGCACATGGAAAACCCAGAGGCACTGAATTATCCCACTCAAGCAGCCAAATGTTAACAACCTCTCCAAAGCCTAATTTCCCTTTGATATAGACTTAATTGTTTGCGTCACCTACTGGGCTGGGGGAGGGCTATAAAATGGCTTGCAACAATTGACTGAGGCAGAAGAGAGTCCAGGAACAGCTCCCTCTACCAGTGTTCCTATCTCAGCACTAGTGACAAGCTGAGCATCATGCAGCTGGTGGCCAGCCTGGTGTCCGTGCTGCTGCTGGTGTGGAGTGTGAGAGCCACGACGCTGCCCGGGGAAGAGAGACTGCAGAGCACCAGGGTGAGTACAACATGCCCTGGGTAGGAGCAGGATAGAGGCAAGGAAAGGGACATAAGGTCAAGTAGGCTGGACCAAATGCAACTCTTCCATCCCTCTATATTCCAAGGCTTTACAGTTTGATGTGCTGCAAAACCCTGGGCTGTTACTATGGCTTGCTGGCCAGCTGATTTAGGAAAGGTACCAGGACAGATGCCAGAGAGCTGGAATATGTGAAGCCTGAGCTAAGTGAAAAATGGCACAAAGGAGATCGGAGGGAAAAGGAGAAAACATTATTGAAAGGGTACAGCATGAGAGAATAAAGCAAAGTACTAGGGAGGGCAAGAAAAGATATATAATTGATAAAATGATCAAGGGAGGTGATATTTTAAATAGAATTTGTGGGAAGGACAAACATTTAAAAGATAGGAAAGTGACAGAGAAATCATAAATGAAGAAATTGCATCAAAATAAAATTGTGTTTTCTGGAGTAGTATTCACAGGAGGAATTATATTGACATAGTTCCACTAGGATAATTATGCTCTGAGGCAGCGTAGCTCAATGCAGGGGCAGAACTTACAGTAGTATGATTATCTTACCAATTGGCAAAACCCTAATATTATAATCGCTAGAGCACTCCAATAACTTTGCTTTCTGTGCTATTTCCCTAAGAGGCCAAAGGGATAGGGAATCAAAGCATAACCTAATTACAAGCCCTGTTTTGCTTGCCCTTGCCCTGCAGTCCTCTCACCTGCATATTCCTGATGTGCCTCTGAGCTCTGGTTAGTGCCACACCTGGCTGGATCCATAAGGCTGCTGTTATTCCAGAGAAGTGAGGGATGCCAGTGGTGATTTCACAGGCACTAATTTCTCCTTTGTGCACATCCACATTGTTTTTCTGGTCTTTGTGTTGGCTCCAGCTCATCCACCGGCGTGTTAGTACATCAGGAGCAGGCTCACATCCCATTAATGACAAAACAGGCTGCAAGACAGAACCATACAAAGTGTGAAGTGTGGACATTCTGTCAGAGATTAGAGCTCCTGCAGCTGCCTGGGATTAACCATTCTGGGTATAACTGGAAATTTTCAGCTCTACATCCTTACAATAACAAGTGCAGTACTTAAAAGTGAACTAATTTCTCTTAAAAAAACAAATTCCCGGTGCAAATCCTAGCTGCTGGGGAAAAAAGAAACAAGTTATAGGGGATAAATTGATAAATAAGTATTTGGTAAAAATTAATTCAAGTGTAATGGCTCTTAGTCTTTCACACACTGTTGCTTACAAGACATTGGTATCATTAGAGTCATTATTATAGAGCATTCTGCAAACTGGAAAGCTCATGGATGCTGATGAACCATGAGCACAAACTGGTTTGGCTATCTTTTCTTCTGCCAGAGACATAGTGTGGATTTTTTCTGTTCCTTGGTTTCTTTTGTGTGGTAGCAGGAGCAATTACTAGAGCTAAGAAAGTGATTAAAAATATCCATAAACCTTCTGTAAGGTGAACTCAAGACAATTGCTCTGCCTGTATTCGCCCATCTTTTGAGTTGCTCACGAGGTGGTCCTTAGCAAATTCTAAGTACGTGTGGGCATTTGTGAGGGACGATGTGGAAACTTGTTTCCAAGATTCCCATCTGCATGGGAAATAGATGGTTTGACAGGAACAGATCTTATCTCAGCTAGGCCAGTACCAGCTGTCTCTGCTAATGAGTCACAGAGACCAGGAATGCTCAGGCAAGAGGTAATTTCTCAGATTTGTTGGATGTAAAATTAAGAGAAACACAGTAACTCATAGCTTGTACCTGTGGAATTCCCTCAAGCTCCAAACCACAGGCTCTGTTCTTCTGTGGGATGATTAAACAATGGGATGGAGCTCAAAAGCTCCTTTTCCATCCCACTTTCCCCCAAGGTCAGGCTATGGCATTACATAGTACAGCTGCCTGTCTCCACCGATGCAACATTTTGTTTCAGATATTTGGGGTGTCCCTCTCCCCATCAACCCAGCCCTCTCCTTGTTGCACTTCATTCTCAGCATTTTACTGTGGGGTAAAATAATTTACTGTTGCCTAGAGAATTGTGCCTCCTCCCTGGCCTTCCCAAGGCAGAGGCCAGAGCAGCAAAGAGGCAGTTTGGCATACACTGAAATTTAATTAGTGCTGCAGTGAGGGCCTTAAAAGCAATTCAAGCTTATTTGTTAGCAGCTCTTTTCCAGCTCTAACATGGCACATGGAGGCCCAACTGGCTGAGCTGAATAGGGATGGGAGACAGCAGTGGCCTCTGCAGCCACAGATCCCTGAGCTCCAGCATGGCTCTGCCATCTCTTGGCTCTGAGACGCGGCAGGGGAATGAGAAGGGGCCCCGTGGGGTACGTTTGCATGCTCTGAATCTCGACAGCCGTGGGGGACAAGCCTTCCATCCCTCACTTTGCCTGCTCTTTGCCCGCAGGAACGGAGTACCGTCCACAAGGACGTCATTCTGAAGATGCTGGCAGGGCTGCTGGACGGCATGGATGCGGGCAGCGAGGCAGCCTTGCCGGATGGGGAGGAGGAGGAGGGCAAGCTGCAGGAGGAGCGGGCAGCGCTGGGGCGGCTTGCCCAGCTCCCGCAGCGAGACCGCAAGGCGCCCTGCAAGAATTTCTTCTGGAAAACCTTCACCTCCTGCTAGTGCTGCCCGGCCTGGCCTTGCCAGCCTGCAAACACCTTCCCACAACTCATCTTCCTTGTCCACCCAGCTCATTCTCTGTGCCCTGCACGCCTCAGAATAAAGCATAGCGCCTCGGGGACGTGTCTGTGCTTCTCTGTGGGGCAGCCGTGCTGCGGGGATGGGACACACACATTTTCTGGAGCAGCCCTGGGGGGCCATGGCCATTTTGGGAAAGGGTTTGCAGGTGTGAGGGGAGCCACGCGGAGGAGGCACAGCCGTCTCTAAAGCTGCTGCAGCTGCCTCCTCAGCCTTTGAGGGACCAGATGGGTGTGCAGTCAAGTGCTGGGCAGCTGGGGCTGTGCCTCGTGGGGAGGATCCTCAGTGTCAGCCCCTGGTCAGGATAAGGTGCCATGCCCCAGTGGGGAGAGGATGGTTTGATTCTGGGCATGGGAGAAAGCAGCACCCCATGCTCCTTTCCATGCTGGCTTAGTGAAGCACCCAGGCAGTGGTGTACAGATGTGGGGTGCAGGAGCAGCATCTGGGGAGAGGGAGACATGCCCAGAGCTTGACCTACTTTTGGTTTGCCGGCAGGTAATTCCAGAGGAGCTCCTGGGGTGCTTTTGGGTTGCATCTAAAACCAAAACAATTATATAAATTTGCCATAACCCTGGATTGAACAGCTGTGACTCTGCTCTGGTTCACTCATGGTTTCTTGGTGTCTTCTCAACTTGCTTAAACAAGCCCAAAACCAAACTACCTGGGTTTTCTTACCTACCCTCTTGGGTGCCATTTGCTGCCTGGAGAGTAGCAGAGCATATAGTTTTATTTCTTTGGGATTATTGAGGAGGTCTTTGAACTGTTTATTTTTAGAACTAACAGGTAGTAAAAAGATACGGACAGTAGACAGTCTGAGTTCACAGGTATTTCCCTCTGAAGAAGGCTGCTGAATCTCTCATACTGGCCAAACAAAAAGGTATGAAATTTAGTCCCTCTTTTGCTTCAAGTTCAACTAGGAACTCGAATTTCAGAGCTGTATTACCCTGCTGTGAATGGCTGTACAAAATAGGAGGCTTCAACTGTATATCACTGACCCGGTCCCCAGACCTGATGAGAACTGAAGGCAGCTATTTTTAATGGCTTCATTTTGAGCCTTTACATTTTGCTTTTGGAGGTCAGTGACCAGGAGGTCACTCCTGTCAACAGCAGCATTTTGGATTAATCAGCAAGCCAGCCAGTTTTGTGGCAGTTGAGGTAACGGTCAAGAAATTGTGAAAACAAGAAACTCCTGAGTACATGGATGTAGGGATTGCCCCAGACAGAGCCTGCTGGTTCAGCAGATTGTGAGCTGGATTATTTAGTGGTTCCCACAGGAGAGAGGAATCCGGCTGCTCTCAAGGCTGGAAGCAAATTTGAAAGTTGAGCTGCTCTTGCATCCCCACAGATGGCTCCTGCTACCATGGGCAGAGGCACTGGCTGAGCACCAAGGGGAAGTGTGAGTTGCCAGTGCACCTGCTGTGGACAGGGGCCAGCACCATGGGGACAGCTTCTTTTATCAGCTCTGAAATCAGTGTTTGAGTTGGATCTGACTGTGCAGTCTCCTTGCTAAGTCAATGTGCTGAGACTGAAGCGATGCGAGGTCCTGCCTGATGGTAGCAATTAGTGAGTGTGTCAGGATAAATCAGATTCAGTGTGAGTGACTTATTCTCCATTTTCACAAAAAAAATTTAATTTTCACAAAAGAAATGTGAGACTTATAATGGCATTTGACAAGTTAGAAGGGAGTGAGAGCCTGCTATTTCTTTTTTAGATGCAGTAGCCAATGCACTTAAGAGTCTCTGCTCAGAATAATGTGTCTTGCTCTTTGAGCGAGAGCAAATACCCATAAGTTATCTCTGGGTTTTTTAGAAAGTGAAGAAGATTTAAAACTTTGCCAGAAGGCATAGAAAGCTCATAGCAAGTCTCAGAGGAAGCGTTTGGAAGGTGAAGGAAATATCAACAATTCAAATGCATATCTTCCACCTCCCCAGAGAGTGTCATAGTCCTGAGCAGTTGTTAAGCAATTAATGTTTAGTGTAAAACAAACAAAAAAATAAATTACAAGCAATCTCTACAGCTGAGACCTTGTTGAATTGGGTTTGAGGTCAGGCCTGCTTCTTAATGTAAGACCGCTAGTTAGGAAAGGTTGCTTTTAAAAATGTTTGACTGGGGCTGTGCTTGGCTGGTGTATTTTAGTCCCTTCTTGAAAGAGGGGAAGAAGCCAATGCCTTGTGATTGTGAAAAGCTTCCCCACTCCTGGCTTGTACATTCCAGAAATTATCCAGGAGACATTTGGTCACTGAGATGATGTGTCACTATAGGACATGGAAGAACACAAGCTCACACCGCTGTTCTCAAGGTGAAGAAAAAAAGGGAAGTTTCTTTTCTGACTCCAACATTTATAGTTTTCTAAAAGTGACAGCGGATTGGAGGGTGACAGTGACACTTCTCTAATGACACTAGTCAAACTAACAGTCTATCAACTCTCTCCTCTTCTATAAAAGAATACAAAACAATGAGTTATTTACAGAAAGTGTATGAAAAAGCTCACTACAAGAATGTCAACACCAGAAAGCTTAGAAAATCTTAAAAAACTAAAGTGACAATGATGGCTTTGGAATCCATCACTTTAGACAACATGGTGCATTTGGTCAGTGTTGTTCCTCAGATCTCGTTGGTTTCACTATGACTTTATTTATATATTTGAATAAAAGGAGATTGTCCAGCTAGGACTTTAAGCCTTCCAGTTGGGATAAGGATCTGTGCAGGGACTCCCCTGCTCGGAGTGAAACCCATGGGCCAAGGCATGTCTCCTTTCTGGAGAGCTCTGCCTTTGTCCTTGGCCATGTGCTGCTGGATCCAGCCAGAGCCCAATCAGTCCCATGGTGAGAGGTGGCTTCCTTGCCAGAAGCTTAGGTGCAGGTGTGCACACAGGGAACTGCAGCTGCCCAAAAAAACATGGATTTGTGTGCTTTAGGAGCCCAGAGCCACGGGGAGCAAACAGAGGTCTTTGTGCTCCAAAATGCTGGCTTGCAAACAGCGCTCATCTCCATCTGTGAGCTGATGAATTTACCCACTGCTGGGAGTCAGCAGGCTCTGAAGTGCCTTATGATTGCTCTTCCAAAAGCACAACTGAGCCCTGTCCAGTGCTGGAAGGCAGCTGGCCATTCCGTAGGACAGAGAGGGCTAGAAGCAGAATGGCTGAGAAGAAACAGCACTGGTGATCTTCTGCTCCATTCCACAATAAAAATTGTATTTTATTTATATTGTAAAACTGTCTAAATAGTGTGTGACGTGGATGAAGTCCACTCAGCCTTTGCACTGGCTTAGTCCTGTGACGGAAGGGAAATTGTGGGCAGGAAGAGCATCTGTGGGTCCTGGTTTGCTATGAGTGCTCTCAAAATGCTCATGCACCTGGTGAGCCAATCCCCAGCAGTATTTTAGAGGTGAAAGGCTTCTGGGAGAAGAAACAGGGACATGTTTTTAGCCTTGTTTATATCTGGTGTTACTTCTCATGCCTGAGGAAAGCCAATGTGCGCCCAGCATAACTGTTCATTGAGTCAGCAGTCCCGTTTCAATGTTTGGCAGCAACTATCAGCCTCAGGGCATTCAGCAAATTCTGGGCTGTGAGGAACTTTTCAGACCTTAGATCAGAATTGGCTTTCCATTCCTCTGCCACTGATGTGAGCAGGAAGCCTGAAGTGGAATGCTTCTGGAAGTGTTTATGCCTATGGGAATCAGGCAGCAGCTCAGTCAGGCATAGATTGATTTTTTTCCAAAATTTTCTCTCTTCCCCCTTTTCCAGATAGTATAAAGTCCACATCTATCTTGATGATAGGATCGTTTTAGCAGCTAGTGGGCCATGGGAAAGGTCAATGCCCTCTTGGTTCTTGTCATTTAACTGTGCTTGTAGGTATTGCTGCTACACAATTATTACTATTTATTATGCTAGTATTTTCTCCTTCGCTTTTATTAAATGGTGTTTTCTGCTTGCAGTTTGCTGAATGGTTTGTTGGCCTTGGTTTTGTTCATATAATAACTCCTGCTTTCCTGCCAGCACCAGCTTCTGTGCCCAGGGTAATGACTTTTGGCTGTTGAAAAGGTGTCCATTAGATTACAGGATATCTCAGGCTAAATTTCCTGCATGTGCAATCCAACACTCTGTTCCCTGCTGCAGATCAGTTTTCCAGTTTTCATCAGAGAAGAGATGGACCTAGGCTCAGCTTTAATATATCTGGGTTTTCACCCTCTATATATTAGTCCACATGTGCTGGAGTAGGAGTTTTGTGGGAAACATAAATGCTGATTTGGAAAGAAGCAGTCTACATGCAGGAGACTTAATGAAGCTTTATGTCCCATAGTGTTTGTTCTCCCAGTTGAATTACCTGGGCAGTGTGAAACCCCTGTGCAGATCCACAAATGTCTAAAAGAAATTAGAACTGACTTTTTACTTATGGGTGTTCCAGGATGGGCAGGATAAAAAGCAATCCATGCTTATGGAGAAGGCATGGAGTGGATTTTGGTCGCCCCAAGCGTGCACTGGATTAAAACCTGCAGCTGAAAACAGGAAGAATTTACATCTCTGAAACTGGTGCCTGTGTGTACTGCAGTGTTATGTCCCTGCAGCATTTCTGTCCTGTTACCAAGAACCATACAACCAGAGGAATCACTATTCTAAAATCCTGTAACGCGCCCCATTATTTTGTTTTCAACACCTCTGTACTCTGAGATGGACGCAGCCACTTGCTGTAACACGCTGTTTTTGCATCAGTAGTAAATGGGGACGAGTTGTTCAGAGGGAAGGAGCATTGCCAGCTCCCCTTGCTTGTGGGGGCCTGAATACATGTATTGTTACAACAGCAATAAGAATACAACAACTGAAATGTAGTGAGAGTCCTATGTATTAGATAAGTGGGTCCTAGCTATTCTAAATGAGTCGCAGCTGCCAAGTCCTTAGTTGGGCAGCAGCTGTGGCTCGTAAAGATAGCTGGGATAAAAGGGGTGAGAACTATGAAGAGCTGCACTACAGAGAACAGCTACGTGGCAGAGCACCAGCGAGAAGGTATGGACTCTTTAAGAATATAATAGCAACAAGATAACAGCACCTGCTCGCCCTGGCAGACCCTGTGTGGAGCCACCTCCTCCCCCTGCCTGCCTTGCCACAGAGCAGTGATGTTATGGCTCCCTCCAAGAGCCTGCAGCAGTCCTGGTCCATCCTCTCCATCTCTGCCTGCTCTCCCTGTCGCTGGCTGAAGCCTGGTTTTTAGTGATTCTGCTGTTCCCAGAACTCAGCAGGCTGGAGGGGGTGGAAGGGAGATAAACACAAGGGTTCAACATCCAGACAAACACAGCGGAGCACACACGATAAACACATCCACCCCCAAATGCAAACACACAGGGAGGGATTCCTACCCCGAGGCTCACGGCAGAACAGGCTCAGACAGGAGGGCATCAAAATGAGGTGAGTGCCGTCGCCTCCAGCTCCTCTGGCCACTTGGTTTTGTGCAGGCTCCAGAAGGCGTGGGCATGAGGCTCATCCTGTTTATCTGTTACTACAGTGACCCCACTGATATCTCCCAATTGTTTTCATTGGTGTTGGGCACAAAGGTTTCAGCTAGAGCTGAGTGACCAGATTTGGTGTCAGTACAGGCAATGAGGGTGTGTGGCTTTTGGGGTGTGATCCAAGATAATTCTCACCCTTTCTTAGGTCATTTCTTGTCCCTTTGACGCAGGCTGTTTGTTTTGCTGGCTGTGCTCTCTAGTGGAGTAAGGAGCAGCACTGTGCCACAAAAAATGTATGGAAGGATCACGTCCCCAAACTTCCCAAAGGTCTACCCAAATCACAAGGAGAAAACATGGAATATTACTGTCCCCAAAGGATATTCTGTTCGCATTTACTTCACCCATTTCGACCTGGAGCTGTCCTACCTGTGTGAATATGATTATGTGAAGGTATGTGTGGGATGGGGTAACATGTAGCAGGTGCAGCTGTTAAAAGCTCTGTTTATGTGATCCTGGGCACATGCAGCATCAACATAACTCTTTGTCAGCTCTTGATTTTAGTCTACTTATAAAGTTCAGGCTCAGCTGGTTTCTAAATTATGTGTTTATTGAGGCCCACGGGACCAGGAAGCAGATGTGGTTGTCACATTGGAACGTCTGAAACGTGAGATGCTTTTGCTCAGAAAATTCTGATGCTATTCTGTGGTGAAGCAAAAGGTGTGATATTTTGCCTGAAACAATATTTGAGCATTTTGCTATTTTACAGTGTTTTAAATTAACAAGTAATGCTTGACACAGGTTATAATGGGAGAGCATAAAATGAAAGTGAGAGTCTAAAGAAGACACTGTCAGCTCATCTGAGCAGGCACTCACAGCAGCAGTTACTGTGGTTCGTTTGCTGGGTAAGGTGAGAAGTAGCCTCAGGAAGAGGAACAATAAAAAAAAACCAAAAAAATTTAAAAATAAATAATAATAATTATAAATAATTATTTATTTTTATTTATTATGCTGGCTAATGTGAGAAGTAGCCTCAGGAGGAGGAACAATAAAAAAACAGACAAAAAATAAAAATAATAAAAAAAAAATAATAATACCAATTAAAAAATAAAAGATGCTGCCTTGGGGAAATGTTTATGTGAGCAGCAGTGTCCCTGAAAGATGTGTGTGCTCTGGTCCAGGCATCCTGTCATTGATTTGAGGCCATGCTAGCTCTCCACTCCTTTTGTTGTTTGTGTGGGCCTGGTGTACAATAAGGAAGGAGCTGTGTATGCAGGGAGTGTGCAAACCCAGTTCTTCATCTGATTGAGCCAAACCAGGCAGCCTTGCTCCTGCTGAGAAAAATCTCATTTCCACGCTTTTATATGGCAAGTTGCTCCCATTCCCCAAATGTCTGTTGTTCTTCATGTACTGTCCCTTGTGTAGGATGCAGAATATTCATTTCTGGTGGTTGTGTGGTACACAGCTCCCTCTTTACCATGCCCAACCCCATGTATCAGAACATTTCTCTTGCGATAAAGATAAATGAAGAGCTGGAACTCTAATATGTGCATCATAGAGCAAGTGAGTTACTTGCTTAAGGACAATTTTTTCTATACATTTGAATTTGTCAGTGTGCAAAACCTATTTACCCCAATTGTCTCCGGCTTTACCAAGATCTGACTGTCACTGAGAGTGCCAAGTAAATGACAGTATTATAAACAAAGCATGGCTGGCATCAGAGGTTCATGAGGATCTCTGAAAGGAGAAAGGGAGACAAAATTATGGTCTTAAGTCACAGAGAACAGAGAAAATCCACTCTTACCTGGCCTTGGATGTGGACTGACCTCCAGAAGAACCTTTTGAGAGCATCCAAGCTTCCTTTCCCACACTGTTAAATGCATGTTTGTCCATCCATGGCAGCAGGTTGGGAAGATCAATGATCTGTGCTCACCTGCTGGGTTTTTCTGCCTGTTTTGCAGCTGAGCTCTGGTGGGAAGACCTTGGCCACGCTGTGTGGAAGGGGCAGCACAGACACCGAGGAGGCTCCGGGGAACAGGACGTACATCTCCGCTGATAACCGCCTCGTGGTGGTGTTCCGGTCTGATTACTCCAACGAGAAACCATTCACAGGCTTTGAGGCCTTCTATGCTGCTGAGGGTGAGAGACTGGCCCCACTGCAGATGGAGGAGCCAGGGCTGCTGTGGGGTTGGCAATTCCCCGTGCTCTCAGTGCCTGAGGCTGCTGGTGTGGGGCAGGAGGAGCAAGGGGGGTCTCATCACGCAGAAGCAGATGCAGAGGGGCACAGCAAAGACCAAAGACCAAGCTCACGAAACAAAGGGTGGCTGAGGCTGAGAGAACATTGTGTTGAAATCTATGGTTTGCCTGATCCTGTGCTTTGCCCATTAGATATCGATGAGTGCAAGCAGCCGCTGGACACCAAACCCCTCTGCAGTCATCACTGCCACAACTACATGGGGGGCTACTATTGCAGCTGCAGGGTTGGCTACACACTGCATGAAAACAGGAGGACGTGTACAGGTGAGCTCCTTCTAGATCAGGAGATGCTCCCCTATCTACAACATCTACTTAAATCCAGTCCTGACAATAATATCAGTGAAAGCTCTGGGGTTTCATTTTCAATATTCCCTGTGTGCCTGGTGCAGCTGGGAGGAGGTTCACAGAGTTAGCCAGGGCTGTGAACCAGCAGATGAGCAGCTCTGCACTGACCATTGGTGTGTGCACATTTATGCCCCTCTCCTTGAAAAGAACTCTTGTGGTGTTGCACTGAGTTTCTAGCAGAGGGAGATCCTCAGCAATAGTGACTGCTGAGCCACCTTGGCAGTGAAGACATTGGGCATTGCTGATGTGCCAAAGGTGTCTGTGGATCTTCTTCATGAGCTGAGGGCAAAAGCTGCCCCTGTGTCTTTTGGACTCCTGTTTGAGCTGGCTGATATTGACAGGCTATTTTTCTCCTTTGTTTTCCAGCAGAAGATATTTAAGCTTGTCCTCACTTAGGCAGAGATGGAGACAGATGTGCTGGGAACAGCTGGTTTTCCTCCTGCTTGCAGTCCGGGAAGGAAACCTGCTGCAGTCTCCCCAAGGGCTGAAGGCTTCCCTTGCTCCATGACTTGTCCATGTGGCTTCTTGCCTTTCAGACTTGCCTGCTGCAGTAAATAAAGAGGCTGTTGCCTGTTGAAAGCCAAATGCAGCCTCTGGGACATTCATTTTCTGATGTTCCCACGTGTCACTTGGGAAAAAAGAAGGTAGATCAGACAGGAACTGGTAAGAGACAAGCCATTGGGAAAGGCCCCTGAGCATCAGAGCTACCTGAAGACTCTTGAATTTCTTATCTGGCTCTTGTTGTTTAACCTTACATACTTCTTAAACTGCAAGAAGAGCAGAACCACATCACACCTTTGTTTCCTAATGCTCCTTTTAGATATGCTCTTAAGAGAACTCCAGCATTCCAGCTGATCATTACAGACCAGCTTGGATCCAGGCATACGATTTTATTTTATGGAACAATTTTCCTAACTTGTCAAGAGTTTGAAGTTATACATCGAGGCAGCAGATGTCCTGGGCTGATCCTGTGAGTGCAGCCAGGCTGTGGCAGGTCACTGCTCCCCTTTGGTGTGAGAACACTATCAGGAGTCAGTCATGGTTTTTTGCTTTAATTCTCAGCAATTGAAGATTGTGTCCATGTAGAGAAAATGTGTGTTTTCTGTCACTATAGGACATGAAAGAACACAAGCACACACTGCTGTTCTCAGGGTGAGGAAAAAGGGAAGCTTATTTTCTGACTCTAACATTTATAGTTTTCTAAAAGTGGCAGCAGATTAAAAAGTGACAGTGACACTTCTCTAATGACACTGGTCAAACTAACAGTCTGTCAACTCTCTCCTCTTCCATAAAAGAATGCAAAACAATGAGTTATTCGCAGAAAGCGTGTAAGAAAGTTCACTACAAGAATGTCAACATTAGAAAGCTTGGAAAATCTTGAAAAAACAGAGTGACAGTTTTCTCCCAGCAGTCTTGAGCAGTAAGTAAAATACTCTGACTGTTGCAGTCCTGGAGCATCACCCCGTGGTCGGAGCGCTCCGGTGCAGGCGTGGCTCATCAGGCTCCGGGTTGTGCTGCTCGATGTAAGTGAATCCTGTAAACCCCGTGCCCTGGGTTCACTATATGATGCTTTTATCCCCCAAAAGTCTCGCTTTGTTTACGCTGAATAATAAGTTTTGCACCTTGTCGCAGAGGGTGAAGGGGGGAGAGAAGAAGTGTGCGGTTTTTATCAGACGCTGCTCTCACTCCTCCGCATTCCTGCTCCTGGACTGTGTTGTCTGCAGATAGACAGACAGCAAGACAGAGCTCTTTTTTTGGTTTTAGTTAGTTTAGATAGCTGAAACAAAGGAGTTCCCTGGACTGTGTTTTTTCCCCCTTTTCTTTAGACCTCTTAAAACCTGCTCTGGACTGAACACCCAGGAAAGCACCAGAGCTGCACCTGTGGCTGAGCCCGGCCTGTGACATTTCCAGCACTGAGGGACTGATCAGAGGCTGAGTGAGCTCAGCTGCAACCCGAGGATGGGGTTTTCTCAGTTGGTCATCTCTTTTGGAGCAGCAAGAAGTTTTATTGTGTAATATTGTTTTATTGTTTAATAAACAGGTTTTTTCCACTTTTCTCCAAAGAAGTATTTTCTCCCAGACCAGTTAGGAGGAGAAACCGATTAAATTTGCTTTCCTACCAGAGCTCCTTTAAAGATTCTCTCCCAGATTTGCTCTAAACCAGAATAAATGCATCCCGTTTGACTTAATTTCTCGGGTTTTAAACACAGAGGTGCCCTTTCTTTTTACCAATTTCTGTCATTCCCTTACTGTAATTAGGTGTGCTTGGTGGATTTGGCAGCAGTTGTCCTTTGATATGCTCCCCAAAGAATTGTTCCTGTCTGTGCATGCTGGTGTGTACATCTGCCCTTGCTGATGCCCTGGACGCTGCTACTTAGAGATTTGCTTCTAATTATGTTGGAGGAAAATAACAATTTTACAACAGATTGACATGATCTGTGGTGAGAGTTTTTAATGTTCTTTCATTATAGACCTCTCCAGGGAAGTTCAAACAGTAATAAATGGACATTCCTGCTGAATGCAGTGTTTCAGACTTAATTCTTAGTAACTGAACTGAGCTTTCTCAGCAGGCAGTTTTGGAAGATACTCCAGACTGTGTATGCTTACAGAATTTTAAAATCACAGTTGAGGTGATTGTGGTTTGGGGAGGCTCAGGCTTACCTCAGCAGTTACTTCATAGTCTGTCTGAATTGATGCACATATTCAGTTTATGTAGAAACACAGAATAACTGAACTTATGTGAGTAATTTAAATGTTTAACAGTGCAGAGGAATGCTAACAAAACTGAGAATGTTATGATAACCTCACAGTGTGACTGTAATTTCTATTATTGATTGTAGTTTTGTTACATCATTTACTGTTGAACAGGCCTTGGTCATGCCTAAGGCTGCCTACTGCAGAGTAATGCTCAGAAATCAGTGCAGTTCTCCATGAGGAAAGTAAAAAGCCAAATGTTCCTGTATTCCAGATCTCTTTGGAAAACACAGTTTCATAATTAACTAAATTGATGCTTTTAAACTGATTGGCATTGTTTCTGACAGGAAGATTGAACCATGCTACAGCAGGATTTGTGAGAGGAAAAGAATCCCCTTGCTGCTGAGTACAGGGTTGTGGATTGTATTTGATTTTTTAATGCCTGAACTGCTAAATTCATTACTCTGTAAAATTAGTCAAGATCCAAGACTGAGTTTTGGGAGAAACATTGTACAGTGTAATAGCATAATTATGCCTCTTATCTTTTAGATTAGAATATCCATATATTCCAATTACCCTCATTTACATTCAGAACAAATGCACTTCCTCCTCTGTGCCCAAATTCCTCAGCAATGCTGTCTCTCTTGATTACAGAACTTTTCCAAGGGATGCAATACTAATGAAAATTGTATTCTAAATCAAATATTCATTTGCAAGCAATTTTTCCATTCCAGAACAATCCAGGAATTACATTTAGAATCATTAACTTAATTTAATCCATATGAGCACAATAATTCAGTATTTAGATCTCAAACTGTTAAACAGCTTTTGCTGCCATTGCTGTTTTGCACTTTGTGGAGTGAGTTCCTGCAGGAAGGGAAGAGGAGCCTGGAGAGCTTCCCTGATAATTGGTGTTAACTACAGGGCAAGAAAAGTTAGAAGGTGGCTCAGCTGTGGGTGGCAGTGGGGTTCTAACAGCTGCTTACCATATAGCTGATCAAAAAATCCCATCTTTGAGGAGTAAATTGGAAATTTTGAGAAAGCACTATGAAGGTGGCCAGGGAGAAAGAAATTTAACTCATGAAGGTTATAAAAATTATCTCATCCCCTTTGATAATGGTACTGGTTATGGTGGAGCAGGAAATCTCAAACAGGACTAATCTTGCACATATCTTGCTGATTGCTGCAGATGATGGGTTGAGGAAATGTCCCGGCAGCTGTTAGAACTCCTTCAGCTGCACAAAGCTGCCATCTGCCTACACCATGCTTTATTCTTTTCTTTTAAATTGTGGATGCAATAGCCTGGTCAGAGAGAGAGAGAAAGCTAGATAAGCTTTCCATGAATCAGTCTGGGAAACTTTAGGGAGCTGGAGAGAAAGAATTCTCCTCAATCTGCACCTGGTATTTGTAACAAGTTGTTTACTCCCAAGGGATGTCATCTTAATTAGCCAATGGTGACAGAATTTTAATTAAAGGACCAATTACGTCCACCTGTAGCAAACTAGAGTATAAAAAGGAATGGGTTAGATATAGCCTTCTGTGAATGCATGGATTTATCTGTGTCACTTCTGACTCAATGGTGACATGAAATAGTGCTGTGAATTGTTTGAGTGCAGCTTCTGACTGAACACAGGTGCAGTGAGAGCCTGCAGAGCACCAACATCCCTTCACCCCCCCCTCAGGGGCACACCAGGTATGCAGCACCAGCTCCTGGCTGTATGTGGGGCCTTTACCTGCCCTGCTGTCCCTGTGCCCCCACAGATCACTGCTGCTTGACAAGTTCCAGATTTCAGCTGGAAAAATGGAGTTTTTCTGAAGAAAAAGCTTTCACATTCAGAGTTTCGGTCCAACAACAGGTTCTTGGAGCTAATTAGCACTGTTAGAAAAACTTTTTTTTCCTATATTGACCCCCTTACAATACACGAACTTCCTCTTTCTTGTATCTTGGATTCTTTCATTAGCATTTCACTTTCTGAAGCAATGCAACTGAAAAAGAAGTATCTCTCTAGAAAAAATTAAGACTCCAAACACTTCAGTATTTTCAGTGACAGTTTATTTACTCACTTATAAACATTAAAGTATGCAAAGCAGTTAAAATGACACTGTAACTTGAAATTCTTGAAATGCTACTGTAACTTGAAAAGGAGATTTTGTTTGAAGGTGAAGGAAGGCTAAAATTATTAGCAAAGACTACTCAGTGCTGCCAACCAGCCTCTTAAACCTAAACCTGAGCAATTGAAACAGAATTAAAACCATGCTAATTACAAAAACTTACCATGAGGTTCCTTGCAGGGGGTCACAGTTAGTCTTTGGAGGTCCAAGAATACCATTTTAAAGTGTTACTCAGCAGAAGTAGCTGGTAATAGTGCAAGTGCTAAAATGCAAAATTCACAGATTGGACAGTTTGGAGATTATTCTGATTAAGGTGCAGAAAAAAAATGTAAGCAACTTTTTCAGTGGAATATGAACAAATGTGTGGGATTCCTTTCTCAGCCTGGGTGTTTAGAAACCCTGTTTAAACTAATCACATTAAGGCACAACTGATTTTTTAATTCTGCAGGTGGAAAACTCAGTCATGCAGTTTTGTTTGCTGTTTAGATGCTCTGCTATTCACAAGCCTCAGTGGGACAGAGTACTGAAGGTTCACTTGAAAATCACATAGGTTAAAAACTGTGTAATTATCCATACTCAGACAGACTATTCATGGCTACAGCACAGTACTATGGGGTATAGAAAAATACAGATCCAAGCTTCAGTGGGCTGCAACCCCAAGTACATAACACAATTCCTCAAGCTCATACCACAAGTGGAAATAACCTTCCATGAGTTTCTGCTCTAATGCCTTGCACTTTGTTAAGAAGCTGCCTCCTACGTGACACCTCTGCACCTGTGATAACTCACTTCAAACTTTAGCAGTCTGTGTATATTTACAGAGCTTTACTCATCTGGAAACTCCTTCCTGTGACTAGTTCTAACAGGAGTTAACAGCCCTCTTCTGGGCTGGAAGTGTGGCAGAAGCCTGTTTCCCATGAGTGGGCTGATCTAAAAACAAGTTAAAAGCATCCATCCCCAAAGAAGATGTGGACAGAAATCCACCATGACAGCAACTCTGTTTCCCCCAACCCACTCCTGATAAGGAACTTCCATTGCTAAAAGAACAAGTAAGGTTCCTTGGCACAGATGAAATCTGGAGGGAGCTGCTTACCAGTCTAGGTGCGGGCACCCCAAGGTGTGGGACCTGGATTTTAGATCTATGTCACTGCACAGTGCAAGGCTACAGTGGCTTAGAGGAGAGTGTCAGGTATCGATACGTGCTGAGCGGTGGCTCCTTTAGAACCTGCTTATCTGAAACAAACCGAGTGGCTGCAAAAAGCTTTACAGAAGTTCATCGCAAAAGGGTAAAATTAATTAACTGCTATGAATTCTTTGCATTCAGGGCTGCAAAACAAAGACACATATTACTTAAATCAGTTTTATTTAAGAATTTCCTACAGTGACAAATCTTATAAAAAGCATCCAAACACGAAACTGCAGCAAACAGCATTCTTTTGGATATCTTACAGACAGTGGAACTTCCACCCTGGAGAGGCACACTGAGCTCTAGTGATTTCTGCTAAAAGAGCTACTGCAAAGCACACCACAAGCTCAATGTTCTCATCACAAACCCCCATCATCTTCAGGTCACATTACCACACTTACAGATCATTAACAGAAAAAAAACACACACCATACAGCATTCACAGCAGTTGACATAAGGGAAAAGAAATACAAATATTCCATTTCACGTAACACATTCAACTAATTGATTAACTAGGTAGAGAACCCACTTAAAAGTCTTCCACATGTGGATGTCCTTTGAATGCAATAAACACTCGTACGTTATCTGCTATCATTGCTCTCCGCACACTCTCTCACCAAAGCCACAGGATTGAGAGACATCTCGCCAAGTCAAATAAAATCCCATTAATGCACCACCAGGTCTCTGCATGCGCTCGCTCCTTTATCTCGCACATACCAGCCCTCTCATGCCTCGGCACCACCACCAATCCCACACATGGTTTCAAAAGTTCAAACAGCCTTCTGGTTCCATCTCACAGCCTTGCGTTCACAGCGTTGATACGACTCCATGAAATAAAGAGTAGCGGATAAAAATGGAACACCCACCGTCTAAGACGCAGCATGTGCGGTGTGATGAAGAATTCTTGGATGAGAAAGCATGTAGACAGAAGTATTCCTAAGGCAGAATATTTACAGCACTGCTTTCAATGAAGTGCTTCTTCCATACACATTTGAAATGAGATGAACTGCGGAGATTAAATGAAGCCTTCATATCGTACTTTAGTATGGAGGGGAGACAGCGTTAAAAGAAAACAAACGAACACAAACAAAAATGACACTGTGTTGTCCAACGGGGCGCTTGGAGAGTCTTATGGTGGGATCAAATTAAAAACAAGAGGGAGAGAATGCTGTTTCTGACCAATGGTTCCATTTTGAACATGCAAAGAATTCATGTAGCCGGGAAACAAGGGGTAAAGTATTACAGGAGAAACCTTTCCTATAGACTGTAGTGTTAGTTCACCTATCGGGCAAACAGCAGTCCACTTCCAAACATTCAGAATTCCAACTAGATATGTAACAAAACTTAGAAAATTCCTTTTACCTTTCTTTTCTTTTTCTTTTTTTTTTCTTTTTTTTTTAGAAAAGAAAAATGTCAAAAATACTGCTGAATATACTGCACACTGAACAAATTCATTTGGAAAACTTTAGCATATACGTAATTTACAGTATACTTACCATGAGTTAAAAAATTTGATTTCCCACCATAGAGTCAGTATCAGAGCCCACTGCGTCTACATTCCCCAGCCTGATGACTTGGAATCCATGCTTGAACCAAAGCCCCCGTTGAACCCACTGCTGGAGCCGGGGTTGGAGGCTGAGCCCCAGCCAATCGCTGCCCCCGAGTTGGACCCTCCGTATGAGTTGTTGCCTGAACTAAAACCCTGGTTCTGCTCCCGCTGCATGTTGCCCTGAGGCTGGTTGTTCCCCGAGGGCCCTGACTGGTTCTGCTGGCTGGCCAGCATGCCCATCATCCCCCAGCTGCTCTGCAGGGCGGCCTGCGCTGCTGCCATCATGGCAGGGTTGATGCTAAAGGCCCCGAAGTTCATACCCCCGCCCATGTTGCTGCCCTGGTTGTTGCCCAGTCCTCCCCCACCTCCTCTACTGTTACCAAATCCCCCCTGATTCCCAAAGCCTCCCGGGTTACCACCAAATCTTCCGCCTCTCTCTAACTGTCTACTGCTATTGTGTTTAGGTTCAGCATTGGATATATGTACGCTGATTCCTTTAATGATCAAGTCCTCTCCACAAAGAGACTGGGCAACCTATAAGAAATAAGGGATTGATTAAATGTATGTTAGATGTCCTTTTTTTCAAAAATGTTAGCAGTACAAGACAAAACACAAAACATCCCCTACAATTCTGACCAGATATTTATCCTGCAAAGAAAGCATAGGCACGTACTTAATTCAATTTGAAGTGATTTAGCTTTGCATTCATCACTACACTAACTGTAGTACAAAGTCCTGTCTGCACAGCTGCATCTGAAAGTGTACTCTCAGTCCATTCAATCAATCAGACAGCGGACAAGTAAGCATTTCATGTGTAGTTCCAGAAATGACACTTTATCACGCTACTAAAATATAGTCTATGAAGTTAAAATATTTTAAGACTTACCTGATCATCTGCAAACGTAACAAAAGCAAAAGCTCGGAAGGGTTTAGGAATGAAGACATCTACCACCTCCCCATACTGGGCAAAGAACTGTCGGAGCTCATCTGCCGTCATGTCCTCGGTGCAGCGCCCAACAAACACCTTCCTGCTGCGCAAGGGCTCGTCGGGACTTTGCTGGAGAGAATTGAAGGCAAAAACCATCACAACTACAGAACTCGAGAACTGAGCCACAGGATGGGAAATGACACTCTGAATCTAGCCTGTTCTGAGGGCTGCTGATGGAACAAAGTTTGAGATTGTGAATATAAGACTTAAAATAAGTAAATTTTAAAAATGCTATTCCAAGGACATGGCTGCACCTTGGTAAAGGTAGGGGGGAAGAACCACAAGAAAATGAGCATGGGAGCAACACACAGGGATGGTGACAAGGCCACTGCAGAACACTTTTTGGTGATAATTGCATACAGAGACAAGAATAGAAGCTATAGGTTCAGTTTGGAACTCAAAGACTTGTTCTGCTCTTCCCCAAATTAGTGATTCCATCTGCTTTATTCTGCATTTATTCATGCAACAGGCAAGTCAGGCAGGTATTGCTGGACATCAAACACAGATGTCTATCTGTATTTCATTCCCTCACATAATGAATGATTTTCCCAACATTTCAAATTACTTCCAGCTCACCCACCTGCTCCCTGTTTTCCTTCCTTGCTCTCGCTTGTTCTGTTCATTCACAGTAAAGCCCCATCCGAGAGCGGACAGTTAATCTGTGCACAGCTGATGAAGAGGTGCACTTGGAGTGTTTGGTACAAATAAAAGCAGTGGGAAATCCCAAAGTACCTTAGAGTTGGGAAGTTTACAGTCACACCATCTTCCATCGATCATGTGACGCTGAGACATTACTTTCACTTGGGTTTCGTAATCCGTGAACCGAACAAACCCAAAACCTTTTGAGTGGCCTGTTTTAATATCCTTCTTAACCTAGGTGGGAAAAAAAAAAAAAAAAACAAAAACAGAAGTAACCACTAGTACAAAGCATGTTGTTATTGAATGAATTTGGTAAAAATCTGTTTGAGAGTTCACCTGTCTTCCAACCATTCTTATCACAGCAACCTCTAATTCCTTAACATCTTCTCCCAAAATTAACAGGCTCATGGAAAAAAAAAGACATCCTTACGAAGAGACACAGGTTCTGATCTTGTCCGAATTTATAAAGCTCCTTTGTTTCTACTGCTTTCTCAGGAGCCTGATATCTACCCAACGTCCCTCCTTACTTGAGCTGCAAATGGATTTTACCTGCACCATCAGAACTTCTCCAAAGGTACTGAAATATTCCTTTAAGTCTTGTTCAGTGGTTTTCCAGGGAAGACCCAAGACTATTAAATCTGAAGTCTTCTGCACTGCTCGTTTCACTTTCACAGCTGATGATGCATCGGTTTCATCCATTTTTCTCTTATTATCTGAATATAAAAAAGTACATTAGACATCCTCAGAGCTGGAAATTGACCCAGGGACTATGAACTGCATGGGGTTAAATTAGAAACCATGATGAGGAAGAGTACACCAGCTGTTGAGAGCTAAATGGAACACATATCTGACTGTCCTGAACCAAAGCTAGTCCACAACTGAACCCTCCTCCAAAATGCAAACTGACCCAGTTAGTTCTGCATTAGTTTACTAAAGAATTATCTAGCAACATTCACGTAAGGTTGGGAAAAATTTCATGTTTTCCCCACTATAAGGTGGGGAAAACATTTAACAAGACTACTTCACCAGCAATTTATTTCCTTCCCCTCTTTTTTTGGGGGGTGGAGCAGGTGGTCAGGTTTCTCCTTTCCTGAACACTTCTAAATGGTGCCTCTGACTAAACCATGCCTTGAGGAAAAGTATCTGTGAGTACAGAGATTACAGTACACTTCAAATAGTACCCTTTGAAGGCCTATACAAGACTAGCCTTCAAGGATAATGCAAGACTTTGTCTTTAAAGTACTTGTTTAGGTAGCTAAAATAATAAAATAAAAAACTCAACGGGGTCAGACCTATTCGGCAGAACAGACACCTGAATAAATCACTGGGAACTGGAAAATTAAAGAGTAACATGTTGCTCTTTAACTTTCCAGTTAACATGCTGCCATGTTACTTCAGCAGCGACTGGGACCTTAAAGAAAGCAGCCCAGAAGGGAGAACCGAAGACACGAGGACAAACCTTTGGGATAATTCACGACGTAGACGAGGTTTCCCCAGCCGGCCTCGGGGGCGTGCAGGATGCCCTCGACCAGCCGGACTCCTCGCATGCACTGCGACACCGGGTTTCTGTAGCGCAGCCCGCACGCCCCGGGGAACTGCGCCGTCACCGTGGACAACAGCACCGTGCCGTCGTCCTCCGACGGGATTTCGATGGGCTCATCGTTCTCGTCCTCCGTCACCCGGATATACTCCGACATCTTCGCTGGAAGTTACTGAAGTACAAAAGGGAAAGAGAAGGCATAAGCGATCACACCCTATCCCCCCGACTTGGCTTTCATCTTCTTCGGCCTGAAGCACGAATCTCTCTTTATTACACAACAGGGGTCCCCGAAACGCGCTATTCATTAACACTTTGGGCCTGCTGTAAACCTCGGCCTGTCCTGGAGCTACGGAGGCACCAACAGCGACTTAGTCCCCAAGCACGGCGGAAATTCCCAGGGGCGCCATGGGCTACCTCCGCGGAGCCGGGAGCACAGCCCCCGCCGGCCTCGCCGCCTGCCGGGCCCGCCCGAGCCCACAACCTCCGGATGCGGCTCCACCCGCCCCAGCGCCCCCCAGCCCAGCTCACCGGCCAGGAAAGAGAGCGACGTCCCAAAAACTCCTCAACACCCCCTCCACCGCACTCTACCCGCCGCCGCACAAAATGGCGGCCGCGGCTCCTCAGAGGCCGGGCCGGGCCGCGGGCCGCACCATTCCAAGTGGCCGAGGGGGGCAGCGAACTCCGGCGGGGCGCTCGGAACGCGGGAGATCGTGGAGCCCCGGCCGTGCCCCAGCGGGCGCCGGTCGCTCACAGCCGGAGATCGGCCGGGGCGTTCTCGGAACCGGCGGCGATGACGGCAGCTCTCAGAGCCGCGCTCCCCCCAAGCGTGGGGCCGGTGGTGCGGCCCTGCCCGCGCATGCGCGAGCGCGGGAGCTGCCGGGAGCCGGCGCCGTCCGGGGCCGGTCCGGCGGGCCCGTCACGGCGGAGCTCCGCAGTGGGCAGCGGCTCCCTGGCCCGTCCCGGCTAGCTCGCCCGGAGAAGCCGCTAGCAAAGACATCCTTGCCAAAGCCCTGTGATGCCTCTCTCCCGTTTCCGCTACCAGAAAGAACAAGGCCACCTCATTAAAAAAACAAAACAAAACAAAAAACAAACACCAAAACCCCAACTTGTTCACTTGGCGTGTTCAGCATGAAGAAGAATGAGGGGAAACCTCATCACAGCCTACAAGTTCCTCGTGAGGGGCAGCGCAGGAGTAGCTCCGGTGTCTGCTCTGCGCGACCAGTGCCAGGAACCGAGGGAAGGCTGGAGGTGTGTTACGGGAGGTTCAGGCAAATATAGCAGGAAAAAGATGCTTCCCCCAGAGGATGGTCGGGCACTAAACAGGCTCCCAGGGCAGTGGTCACGGTCCCAGGGCTGCCAGAGCTCAAGGAGCGTTTAGAGAAGAAAAGGAAACCGAAAAAGAAACCCCAAAAAACCGCCCAAAGAATCTTATAAAGAGCTATTAGTAAGGATAGAGGACTCTACTGCTAGAAGAGGTTAATCCAGTACCTTGCATTAATGGCTTCTGCTGAGAGTATTTAAGACTCCCACTTTATATTTCTTCAAGTGCAAAAATTGGCTCCCAGCACCACTGAAGCTCAGCTCATCCATGCCTTGAGTGTGACTTGAGACTCAGTCTTACCATTGAGTTACCATTTTTCACCAGTTCTGAGAGGACCTGACTAGACACAGCCTAACAAAAGAAGAAAAAGAAATGTATATTGTGGATCACTCGAAGAAATTTTCTAGTGATCCACAATATGCATCCCAAAGCCAGTTGTGGTGTTGCCAAGTCAGCATGGAGACAGCCAGTGTTGTTTGAACATGCCGTGAGGATGGAACGGTGATTGTAGTGTGTCAGCACTATGCGCTGCACCATTTCCACTCAGAGTTCAGCAGTGAGGTTGTTGTGGTGCTGAAGCACAGCAGCCTCCATCTCACACAACACCTGGTGGTAATTTCACTAACAAGCAGAGTAAGCACCAGCCTTGGACTGGATTTTGTGCGAGTAGAAGCTCGACGAGAACGGGGAGCTCTGTGCCGACTGTAAAACAGGGAGGGAAAGAAGGACGATTAGCCATCAGAGACTTCTGCCCTAAAACATCCTCAGTTTTGCAATAAACAAGCTTAGAATCAAGCAAATGTCACTGTTCCTTTTCTGTGTGAATTGGGATTCTTGCAGCACTTCTGTTATTTTGCATTATGATTAGGTTTAAATTAAGCTATTAACAGTAGCATTGCTCTTGAAGTAAGTACACCAGCATACCACTAGTTAATTCACCAATTCCCTCACACTGGCAATTCCAAGGGCCCATAGGTGCAGACAAATACAATATGTGGTACTAGCCATCATGTACATTGACTTAAGTGTGCCCAGAGGCACAAAACAAAATGCAATACAATAACTATTTGCTGCTCTAGGTTAAGTGTGCTCATGGGTACCAGCAAGCTCAGTATAATGATCAACTGTTCGCCCTCCCAAAAGCACTTGGGATGAAAAACAACATCAACGGGCACCTAAATATAAGCTCCTGATACAAAAACACCATGCAACTGTGGGTAGTGAAAAACACCAAGTGCCTGGGCCTATTCCTAATTACAGAGCAGTAAAAGACAGGAGAATTTAATGAATAATGGTGTATTGGTCTGGTCAGATTGATAAGGAGGATGAACAGTTTCTCCATAAACATCTACCATAATGAGAGCTTTCCATTCACAAGCAAGTTATCAACATAAACGTTTACTCGTGCCCAGCAGTCAAAAACTACTAAAGAAAAGTTTCCCTGAAACAAAATAAGTAGCTTTCACCCACATAAAGTACCTGGAAAGATTGCTTAGTCCATGGTACTCACTCTCTTCCTAATTCTCTCAGCTAAAACAACACTTAAGACTTCATTATAGTGCCTGAAATATTTAAGGCAATTTTACTATGATCCTATGAAATGATGATTCCAGTTATCTCATTTCTAATCCACCTGAGATAGTTTAGTCCTGTTTCGTAAAGAGGAAGAGTTCCTGCATTCCTTTTTTACTTAATTCTTCCAGACTGATTAGAACAGGTGATGTGTTTTTTAATCTCTCAGCAAACACATTGAAAATCAGATTTTTTAAAATAGGTTTGGCTCTTTTAAAGCTCCAGAAGGGCTCAGTGGCTCAGTCTGGGTCCTTTCAGCCCTAGTAGCAATTGGGTGAGGCTTGTTGGGGTCCATGTCACTGGAACTCAGGGCTCACCAGCCAGGTGTGGTGGTGTCCTGGTTGCTACTCAGCAAACCCAGCAAACAGAAGGACTGGCCTGGCTGAGAGCTCTGGTAGGAGCTGAGAATCTTCTGTAGTTACTGGAAACCCAAATGGTGACAAAAAGGCCCCTCTGAGCTCCACTGCTGGCATTGGCCTGCTGGCTCCTATCTTTGTGAGCGGTGAAGAGTTTAGAAAATGGGGATTATCTGCCATCTCCACCCTCTTGTTTGGGTGCTACCTGTGGGAACTATCAAACATTTGCATCTTGCACAGGGAATGCAAAAATCACTTTGCTCTGTTTTGTTTGGCAGAGTTAGATCAAACCATCTTCAAGTCATCTCCCTTGCCTTTCTAGAGCATCCAGTAGCAGAGCCTGGGAAGAATTTCTCCCTGTGATTCACAGAGGTATCTAGCCAGTTCCCAATGCTGATATGCCAGGCATGTTCCAGCAGAATCTGATTCCTTGTGCAGTGTAGTGGAGCTGGGATTCAGTCTCTTTTTGGCTAGATTCTGTAGTAACTTCTAGCATGGAAGAGCATGAACTTCCATCAGCATAAGTTGGCATAAACCAAAAGATAAAACCCACAGACTGGGAACTGGTCCATAAAATTGCATTCATTGGTGTGTGACAGGTTCTAAATACTGAATGCAACCATTGGAATTGACAGAGGGGGTTGGAAATGGACTCCTTCAGAAGTCACAGGTGCCTTGGGTAAGGTGTAGCAAGTACTCTGGAACACCTGGAATAGCGTGAAGGACTGCTTTGGCAGGATCTGTTCACAAGCTTTGTCTAGTTTTCCTTCAATGTTTTTTATTTTTTTCTGCTTTTCTCTCAAGGACAGGGAAGACAGTCTGAGTAGTTTTTTGCTGGTTTTGAATGATGCACATTGAAGCAAGAGCTGAAGGATAAGACAAAGACTGTTTTTAAAATAGTTAGGCTTTACTGCCTGGTAATATTTTTTTGAAATACATTTACTGAAGATTTATGTAAAATCTATCTTTTGTCTATTTAAAATATCTCAAATGGATGTACAGGTCAAAATTTAATGCGTATGGGTTTTCATTATCTTAAATCATTTGCAATATAAATGATTTATGATGACATCAGACCTTTGTTCTTTGGCTGTCCACCATAAATTGAGGCCCACCCAAATTTCCAGCCTTAGCTGTATTTCTGCATTCCCTGCCCCAGTATCTATAATCTCAGTTCTGTGATTCTTCATGTAAATGACTTTGAACAAGGAAAGGAAGGGAACACATAATTTGCCTTAATACAGGTAATTTTGAAAGAGGAGCAAGACCTTTACATGAGAAATAGTTGACATCCACAGAAGGGGGAGAAGTAATGGTTGTAGAAGTGAAAGTTATCCTTGATGAGGGTGGTGAGAGCTACCCATCAACCAAACGTGACCGAATGGACTTTTTGTGTAGTTCAAACTGCCAGAGGTGATCGACTTCTATCTTTCTGAATTTTTTCATGTCTTCTTTTTGCCCTTAAATTTGTCATGCAGTTAATTAATCCAGTTCTTGACAGTAATGTTGTAGGTAAGTGCTTGGAAAACTGAAGGTATTGGGATAAGCCAGGCTCCCCATGGTCATTCTGTAAGCCCACAGTGAAAAACCTCAGTGACACCTGACACCCAGAATTGTACTGTCATGACAAACTTGCTCCTAACAACCGTAAAAATTTTGAAATGCTCAGACTTTTTGAAAGACCTTGTGAAAACTGCGTTCATTATCATGTTTGCAAGTTGTCCTATGACAGTTAACGTATACAGACTTTTGGATCCATCAAAGCCTGTATTTGAAGCCTTCCCAGCTCAGTAGTTACTGAAAATTGCTGCCACCAAACAGATCTTCTGTGGCTACAACTGCAAGGATTAAAGCCTGAAGTCTGCCCAGTTTCTCATCTGTGGATGTCACCTCAAAACCTGTGACATCAAGACTCTGCCACGCCTCTAATTTCTGCTCCTGAAACTGAAAGACACTTAAATCTGAAAGAAACATTGTATTTTTGCAAACTTCCCACACCACTTCGCCTTGACACAGCCCCCTTCCTGCTCTGTCAAAGGATGGATTTCTGTTTTCACAGTTTCATGCATTACTGCTCATGCATGTAGTTTTAAGTACACCTCCAAAATCTGACCTGTCTTAAGAATTGTAGCAATTCTGGGCTGTATTGTAAATTAGGAACATCCTACTGCTGACATCCAGGCTGTCTGTGCAGTTCTGCAGGTATAGGAGTCTGACAATATTTATCTCTCTTTGCTGTCTGTTGTACAGTGTTGGTCCTTAAGTAAAAACCAGCAATCTTAACCCTGAAGTCAGACCAGGGTCAGATGTTATGGTGGGCCTGCATATGCTTTCCTGCATTTGAGTTTCCAGGGGCATTACCACAATGAGATCCAGTGAGAAAATCTCAGTGCAGTCCTGATTTATGTGCAAGAGTGCAGAGGACAGCAAAAGCTTTTAGTATCTTGGGAAGTAGTTAGGGATTAAGGCCAAGGAAAGGATAGTCATGTCAATTCCATCCTAAAAAAAGAAAATTCAAGTGACAGTCCTGACTCCTGGGC